CTTCTTCATCAACCACTCATCATCCTCCGGTCCATACCCTAACCACTGCACCAAATACTTCTTCATCCTCCCAACCTGCTTCTCATCCAAGATCTGCTCAATCAAGTTCTCCAACTGACCATTCTCCATGACCACAGGGCCCGGGCGAGGTAGCTCACGAGAGGGGAAGAGTGTTGTATCATTAGGCATGAAGGTGTGTAGTTGACTGACGTGGAATGTGGTGCATGCGTTGGCTGCATGAGGCATGTCTAAGACGTAGGAGGAGGTTTCGGGCAAAGCTGACAAGATGGTGTAGGGGCCATCATACTGTGGCATAAATTTGGCTACACAATTTGTTCCATTAGTAAGATATTCATGACAATGATGTTTCGTAGACAGCCAAACCTTGTCCCCAACCGAAAACCTTGGGTCAGGGACACGGCATCAATTAGCTGCATGAGCTTGAGCCACCTTTGCCGTGAGTAAGTTGTCACGCACTTCGAGGACATCCATCTCTAGATGAGCCAAAAAGGCAGCAGCATCTGCATGTTCTGTCATCTCAGCATCCAAAGTGGAGATGGGGGGTAAGAGACATGGAGATCGACCAAGGTGGAGCTGAAATGGGGAGAATCCCATACTATTGCTAACAGTGTTCATAATATGGAAATGTATGCAAGGCAGGGCCTTGACCCAGCCTTTCTGGCTACATTCAACATGGAAGCGAACACATTGGTTGACTGTCTTGTTGGTGTGCTCGCTTACCCCATTGGTCTGGAGATGGTATGACGAAGACATCTTGAGTTTAACTCCTGTCAACTTGTGAAGGGACCTCCAGAAGCGAGATAAGAAAAGCTTATCTCAATCTGAAATGACCTCCAAGGGAAGGCCATTTTCACAATACCAATGATCGAAGAAAAGTGTAGCAAACTCTGAGGCGGTGATGGAACTTCGACAAGGCACAAGGCATATGTCAGCGCCAAGGCGGTCTGTCATTGTGACGATCATATTGAAGCCGTGGTCCTCTGGTAAGGGACTGATGAAGTCGATGGCCACAGAGTCTCCACAAGCATCAGGGACTGGCAGGGGATGTAATGGGCCCACTGGTGCCATAGTCAGAGACTTGTTGTGCATGCAATGAGTGCAAGCTGGGATATATGCAGATGCAAGGTCACGATGCATGTTAGGCCAGTAGAATGAATTATGGAGAGCCACATAGGTCTTGTCCGTGCCAAAATGGCCTAAGGCATCATGGGCGAGGTGAAAGAAGCATTCTCGTAGTGAATGTACACAGGGGATCACCAAGTGATCCACAAGGTACAACAGGCCATCTTGTTCCTGTAGGCCGGGCAGTGAGTCAAGAAGAGAGAATAGTCGCTGACAGAAGGGATCTTCTGTGTATCCTTTCAATATCTCCACTGTCAGCGACTTGTCCACCTCGACCCTGGACACTGCAGCCATGGGGGGGCATCATCCGAGCATCACAACAGGGTGTCAGCACCCACATTACGCTCGCCCTTGAATATAACAAATTGTCAGATCAAACTGGGACATGTATTCTTGCCAGCAAGCTTGGCGCTGGGAGAGGTCGCATTGTAGGGCAAAGTGCTGAAGGGTTCAATGATCAGTATACACCAACACCGGGGTCCCAAGCAGCTCAACCCTCCGCTTCTTCAAGGCATGAATGATGGCAAGGAGTTCCTTCTCATGCACAGGGTAATTGAGTTCAGCACCGTGAAGGGAAGTGGAATTGAAAGCAACTGGCCAAGCCATCTCCCAAGTGGGTCCCCAAGAGAGAATTTCCCCAGTTCAGAAGTCCGAGGCATCGCATGTAAGGAAAATGTGGTTGTCACCTGGATTATCATGATCAATCGTCGTCAAACAGTGGGGACTGACCACGAGATCTTTGATGGCCTGGAAGGCCCACTGATGGTCATCATTCCAGACAGGGAACTTGAGTTCTGCAGCCTTGGTTGTCAATGCATTCAGAACATGCATGTGCTCTGTGAGATTGGGAAGATGATCTGCAACATAATGAACAAGGCCCAGGAAGGCCCACATGTCCGTAACTGATCATGGTACCAGCCAATCAAGGATCCTTGCAATCTTGGAAGAGTCAGGCTCGATTCCATGAGCAGAGACGTGATGGCCAAGAAACAGAACTTCAGTACAAAACAACTAAGTCTTCTTAAGAGAACAATATAACTTAGCATCACGGAGAGCCTGGAGGACCACACAGACATTGTGTTCATGTTCCTCGAGTGTCTGCAACCAGATAATAATGTCATCGAGATACACATGGAAAATGCGACTGATTAGATGACAGAGGGCAGCAGACATCTGACACTGATGAACCACAGGGGCATTCCACACCCCCATAGGCATGACAGTCCACTCGTACAGGCCCCAAGGTGTGTGCATGGCTAACCATTTAATGTTGTCTGGATGAACCTTGGTCTGAAAGAAGGCATTGGTCATATCCAGTTTTGCGAAATACCTGCCTTTAGCACAATCACGAAGGATCTCATCAATGCAGGGTAATGGGTGGTTATCGGGGATTGTGTTCAGATTGAGTTGTCGAAAATCGTTGACCCAGCATGGCAATGCGGCAGGATCCGCCTTTGGAATAATGAATGCAGGTGAAGAGTGAGTACTATTGGAAGGCTGTAAACGCCCTGCATCCAGATGTTGTTGTAGTAACATTTTCCACGCTTTGCGATACTTCTTTGGACAATCGTATGACTGAAGCTGGATCACCTTGTTGGCATCCTTGGGCTGGACCTGGAAAAGCACACCATCAGGCAGGGCATCCATGGGCAGGATGTCACTCGGGAAGCAATCAGCAAACTCAACCTTGAGTCATGCATCGCACTTTGTCAGCTCCTCAGCAGCCGTGAGGACCTTAATGCGATGCTGTACCGCACCAATAACATCCACCCCACAGACCGGGGTGGATGCCACCTCCACAAGTTCGCAATATGCAGGCAGAACGCTATGTAGCTCTGCAAGAACCGCACCCTTAAGTTGCTTGACAGCCTGAACGGTAGGGGTTACTGGTGAGGGGACAGGAGCTGGGACAGGAGTTGGAGGATTCAACAAGTCATAACCAGTATCTTTATTAATACATGTACAGAGAGCATGATCGATGATGAGCTGATTATGTGCAAGGAATGGGAGTCCTAACAAGAGTGGTGTACATAAACAGGGCACAATGATTGCACGGACAGACCAAGAACGAAAGCATGCATCCAGGGAAAGACATGATAGAACAACATAACTCTGCAGAGACATGACCTCCTGGTTACCAGAAGAAAGTGCTACCGAAATGTCGAGGGACTTGTGCAACTGACAGTGCCGTAACCCTAGCTTCGAGACAAGGGTTTCATCAATCAGAACTAAATGAGAACCACTGTCAATCAGTGCCTTCACAGGTAGAGGGAAGGTCACATTAGGTCCTTCCAGGAGGCAGGACCACCAGAGATGGGGAATGGAAAGAGGTGTGATGTACTCTTCACCTGAGTCAGTTCCATCCCCCAGTGCAGCAGAGGGCATGACAACAGCAATGGCATCTGTGTCATCATCCACTTCAGTGATGTGGGAGTGCTTTGCTGCAGGCTCCTCTTCGATGATTGCAGCAATAGGTTTGGCATGTTTCTTATGAGCGGCCTCAACATCGGCAGCAGTCAGCACTTTGTAGTTTTTTGTGTCAGGGAAATCATTCAGGCAATCATGTGTGGTATGGTTTTGAAAGAGACGGCAGCATTTGAAACAGCCCAAGTTGTCCCAAAGGAGCTGGCGTTCCTCAACAGTGAGAGCAGGAGGGCGAGTGCAGGTGCGACCATCTGGTGCCTTCAAACCCGATGCTGCAGTGTTAGCTGAACAGCTAGGTTGAAAAGGCTTTCTACAAAGAGCCACATCGAGTTTTGCAGCATTGTGAATGCGTTTCTCATCAAGCAAGCGGACCAGGTCGAGCCAAGCATGGAACTGCTTCTCACAGCAGCCACCAGACAAGCGATATTCTGCAGTGAGATCTGGGTGCATGTGAGACTCTAGGTGAAAATGAAGATGGTCTTCAGTGAGGTGGAACTCGCTACCCCATAACAGAACATTCAGACTCTCCACCTCGACAGCCCACAAGTGGAAGGCTTTGTTACCCTGTGTTGACGAGAGCATTTTCTGCTGGATAGCTTCCACCCAGTCACTGGGAAGCCAGTATGTACAGACTTCATCCATAAACTCCAAGAAGGAGAGGGCAGTCAGTCGACTGCCATTGTTACTAATCCAGTCCTGCACATGAGGATCCAGAAGGTGACCCACAACCTTGGCAACCTGAATGTCCTCTGCTACACTTTTTAGCCGAAAGTAATTCTCGCAACCTAGTTCCCAGCTTCGCAACCCTTCTGGGGTGATGTCACCTGCTGTTAAGAAGGGAGGGGTTTTTCCAGGAGTGGTATTTTCGCATCGCGCTACCTGAGACTGTGTTGAGGACATTGTGAAGACAGGGAGAACCATTGTGAAGCTGTCAGATGACGATGAGCTATCCGTGGAAGTCGGAGACAGTGGAAGGGATGCTGGTAATGGGATGTGTGCAGGGGAGATAGGTGGAGACAGAGCAGTGCTGGGTGGGGCCACAGGCAGTGGCGTAGATGGCAGGGGAGTAGAGGCAGTGTGTGACATAGACAGTGAAGATGAAGATGAGGACAACGGCAATGACAACGATGTCACAGGCGGAGGGTTATTCCCTCGACTACAGGTAGTCAAGGGTACGGGGATGGAGGGAACACAATGGGACGGCAGTTTATGGGATGGCAGTTTGACACCTCTAGCATGAAATGGCAGGGATCCCATACAAGTGCAGAAGATGCTGGCCCTGGGGAATTAGTGTTATTCTGTCTGGCCTGTCCTCAGCCCAGCATCAACATTCCTGAAGATGAAACAGATTATTCCCAGTGAGTGATAACATGAACACCACTAGCCATTTATATAATGTGTAATCCAGTTGGACACTGGCAAGAAGCTTGGTCATGGATGGGAATTTCAAGGCAGAGCATATGCATCCAAAGGATGCTGGCAGAAAAGCCTGGTTGATGGATGGAAAGGGGTACATGGTTGCATCACAGCCATACAAGGAATATTTGAGCAGCACTAAAAATGTGGTTGAGGTGGGTGATGTGTAGGAATGTATTACCCAATGGACTGATCACACTACAAGATCTCAGATTGCAGCAATCATTGGGCAGTTAATCAAGCAAATGCCAACCAGCAGCAGCTTGCATCTACAGGAATAGGTGGATGTGCCTGTGCATGACATGGCTGTTTTGTGCCACATGCAATGGTTGACTTCCAGAAGGGCAAACAGTATGAATAACCTTGTAACAATGTATGACAATATTGACATCAACATCACAGGCACATTAACATGGACTATGTGCTTGTGCATGCTGTCAGGCATGGCACAGTCCCTGGCTAGCAAGTGATACATTTCTATGATATTAACTGCCAGTATAGCAAAGGTTTAGAATGACAGCTACATGCCAATGCCTATATATCCATGCTGGATGGCATGTGGATCTGCCCTGGCATTGGGTTGTGGCATGTTCATGGCCACTGCACAGAATGCTTTCCACAATATGCTCCCAATTTCATTGTGGGTGCTGGCCAGGTGGATGGGGAGATCATGGAAACCTTGTGGTCCTCCCTGAATATCATTTCCCCATCTGCTAGATGCATGGATACTCCCCATTGGCAGGAGGTACTTGATTTCCAAATGAATGATAGCAATTTCCTGAAAATGGTCAGAATGTGTAAGTCTAGTGCTTGTACCAGACATGGTTGCATGGCTAACAGGCTACAGCAATGAGACTCAAGTGGAAACTCAAGGTTGCTGAGGAATCTTATTTAGTGGTTGAAGGCAGGTTTGCTGATTTGAATGGTAATGTCCAACCAGCAATCAGCCAATCATGGGGGGAAGAAGCAGCAGTGGCATTGAAAGACCAGCTGTCAATGCCACAGGCCATGGATATATATGAGGTCAGGCTGCAGAAAGGTAGGTAATGAAGGTTAACCTGGACAGGATTTGCACTGAGTGGTATTGAAGCTCCCTCTGCAAAGGCAATCAAGATAGATTTACTGGCCATCCCCCAGCCAAGGCATTTGCAGGGTATGGTGACCTGGATTGCAAAGGCATTGAAGATAGAGGGAGCATAAATCCAGCTTACAGTGGCATGCCAGCACATCACCTCAAGAGCAAAAGAAGCTCAAAATCTCACCATTGCATGTCACCATGATTGTCTCCAGTCCCATATACATGGCATTTTTGACACTGCCAAAAAACTATTTGGGGACAGATTTGAGGATGCCAAGCTGTGCCAGTCATCTAACCTGCATGATCCAGAAACCATTGCATTGCTGCTGCCATCCAATGTTGGCAAAGATCATTTTGAACAATCTGGCCTGTGGTATGTGACAATAATGGAGCTGCAACTGTGGCAAGGACAGGCCAATGATTGTCTTCATGAACTGCAGCTTGTGCTTGCAGAGAAGGTGGTCATCTTTCGAACTGACATTCACCATGGAAGTAATTACCACATGGCCACACATGCCTGGGGAAGGGTGGCCAATGCTGAAGCAGCAGTGCAATGTCATGCCACTGTGAACTGCTGGTGCTGCATTCAAATGGGCAGGTTAGGGGCCAGGCTGGATATCCTGGAACAATACAAAGAGTTGAATGACTCCAACCTAACTATCAGCATGGCAGTATCTGACCCAAATGCCAGAGGTCACAGAGACAATACCCTACCTTGGATCTGGACAATGGATGTACCAAGGGACATGGCCACCAATGATTGGATGTCAGAATGTGAGAGGAGCAATCACATGGAAGGAGGAGGTTCAGCTGTTGAAATGTGAGCAGGAGTGGACTAAAAACTTGTTTGAAAACAAGGTAAGATTTTGGACCAGCAGAAAGGCTGCTGCATTGGCAAAGGGATAGGCCAGGCTGGCATGCTATGCTGCACAGCAATGCCAGATGTATGGCAGATTAGCATGTCTTCTGTGAACAATTTCCATCTAGAGACCACTAGCTATCTGCAACGACATCATTTTTGAGATCTCCCAAATGATGCCAGGGTTATGGATCACATATTGGTTGGTGTAGTTGAATGCAAGCTGAGCATTTGCTAATGAGTGCTGCCTTAACAGCAGATGCATGCCACCATGCAAAGCCATGGGAAAGTTGGCCAATGCTTATATAGTATGACATCTCATCTTTCATGCCAGTAAGTCATGTTGTCAATGTTCACCATGGCCAAACTCTCCATGGCCATACAGTACTTGGGAATAAGGTTTCATCACCTTGTCACTGCCATGAAGAAGCCAGATTGGTCTGAATACCAGCACACTAGTTGGTATCAACATTTCCTGGCAGAAGTGGTAAGCCACTGTTCCTGTGGTGGTGCAATGGTTGATAGTGGTACAGGGTACAATGGAGCATCTGATGGGCATGGCATCTCACCATCCCATTACCCTGATTGTGCTGCTCACAGCCAACAGGCTGTTAATGTACCTGAACAATGGCGATTGGAGTCCCCATGACATTTTAGCTTTCATCAGAAGCTTGAATCCCTGCCTGACTAGGATTAAGGAGTGCCGTGTCAAACTGGCCACTACTATGTCCCATGCATGGTGGCAGAATGACAGTGGCAAAGTGGAATTGGGATATGAGAGGAGACCTCTGCAGAATGTAATTACAGAAGCCATGGAATTTTTCACAGGAGTATTGGTAAGTGGTGGCACACCTTCACTCACTTCCAACTTACCCATTGTATCAGAATGGTGGCATCTCACTACCACTGCTTATTAATTCACATCCATCACCCACTGCCAAATGTGCTGCACTACACATGATGTGCACAGAAGGCTTGAAGGATATTGATCAAGAGTTATTGTATCTTTCCAAGTTAATCTTACATTCACAGGAGCAGATGTCATCACTGGAAGCTGTTACCTGATCTAAACTTGCTTTACAGGTTGTGTGGGTGGAGTCAGTGTTGAACATGTGGGAATGAATATACAGCCTCTGTACATATTATCAACCATCTATAATGAGTTTACTTTGGGGCTGGTAGCTTTACCTTATCAGAATCTATGCCAGTAAATGAATAGGGGCATTCCCTTGATCAATGGGTCTTTTGTGTACTCTTCTCCCCATGGCCCCAATCATGTCAACATCATCCTTGGGCTGGCAGTCCACAAAGCTATCCACCAGGTTCACAGTCAGAGATCCATGATGTGCCAGTGCCATTGAACCATCTCTGGCATGGTGCTCGAAAACTGCCCATTCAAAGATGCCACTAGCAAAACTGGCTGGTCATCTGGACCTTGATTCATGTTGCCAGCAGTATCAGAAATGTGCAACCCCCAATTGGAACATGTGGAAGGGGCTAATATCTTCTGTAATGTATACTTCAGCAGCATTCATGGTTGTTCAAGGTTGTGTTCTGGCCAGGCTGCATTCCAAAATGCCAATGAGGCTGTGTTCTCATTGCTGCAGAGAGCTTCTATGCCACAGTTAGTTCAATGTTACCACATTAGTCACTACCATTGCCAGCAACATTGGCCACACAATTGCCATGGCTGGAGGGATCCATGCCATATGTATTCCTCACATCTCCAGACAATATCCTCCTTGTTGCCAGTGGATTCCCTTAACTTCCCCAACCTGATCACATTAGAAATGTCTGGTACCAGCACATTCCCATCCAACTATCTACTTTCTGACCAGCCTGTGGAGTACATGTGCTGCCAAGTTCTCCATGAGATGCATCCTTGCACTGCTGCTGTCCTGCCACAACCTCTTGAACTTGAGATTCAGACATGTATTGCACTCAATCAAATGGTGGCAACACTGGCCCAGGCCTATCATAATCCCCATATGCCGTTTTAAGAGAGCTGCCACATGTCCCACTAACATTTATTGCAGTTCCCTCCAGCATTGAATTAATCAGGCTGTCAGAAAGCTTATCACCTTGAGAAACAGGTTTCAATTTGAACCAGGAGGCCTGCATCCTTTCCACTCACCCACCATATCTGAGTGGGTATTTGGATGTTCCTGCAATCATTTTGGGTGAAGGGGATGCAATTGCTTTGTGGTATCTGCCCAGTGCAATGTCACAATCAATGCAGGTAGGCATTGTGATGTATCCTGCTGTCCTCAGTTCACAACCCTATCAAGGACCAGATGATGGGAGCTATTCCCCCACTTTCCAATATGTTGACTTGAAGCATATCCCATGGTTCCTGGCAAACATCACCCAATTACTTTCCAGTGGATCACTGTTTGCTGGTGGGCTGCTTAGAGCTTTCACTGGCCTGGCATCAACTTGGTCATGCTGTGAGGGCCATCCTCATGCTTCATCTCAAAACACTCATTGCTAATGTTGTAGACACTGGCACACCAGCCTTCCATATCTGCTGACCTTGCAGCTCCAGCCACTTGGCAATGGATCCATGCTGTCCAAATGCCATTGGCAATTCTCTCTGCTACACTTTCAATTATGCACCCTCCTTTGCACAATGCTGGTTGCCAAGCCATGCAGCAGCTGACTGAGTGGTCTGCCATGAATGATCCTGAAATGTCAGTAGTCCTCTGACACTGGCCAATGGTTTATACCAGCATCTCCATGATTGCTAACCAGTCAGCTCCCCTCCATCATGACCCACAATCCCATGCCAACTGGTATGACATGCTCATTAGTGTCAGCAATTATTCTGAATGCATTCTTGACATTCCCTCTCTTGGTCTTCAATTCAATTACCAGCCTGGCACTGTTGTAGCCTTTTCTGGCCAGCTTTTGCAGCATGGTGTGAATGATGTGAGCAACAACCATTGCTCACTAGCATTTTACATGTGGGACAATATTCACAACTGGCTTGGAGTCCCTCAAAGTGATTGGATGCACGTTCCATTGGTGTGGCAGGCTCTCACAGGCATGTAATGCACCCATGGCACCCTGTATTGTATTGTATTGGTCCTTATTTAATGCCCCAGGTGTCCAGTATTTGATCAGCACAATCCCAGTTTGAATGAAATCTATGAAATCAATGCAATATTACTAGCCACCCTTCTGTGATCATATGAAGTATAGGTTATGATCTTATACTGGTGGTAACATACGCAGTATACTGACAATTCATGCTATACTTCATGTCCATATCTATAGCACCCTAGCTGTGTGCTGCCATATACAGAACTATCCATGCTGGATGCCATGCACTGACATGAATCCTACTCAATCTGGATGTGTGCTGTGGTATGTTGGGTCAATGCCATCAGCTGCTGAGAACTGCTGGTTTATTCTTCTGCATCTAACCATGTGCTGCTGTATGCAGAACCATCCATGCCACACATCAAACCTTGATGTGGATCCTAAGGCAGTCAGGTGTTTACCACTGTTTGCCATGCCCATGCTGCCAGCTGCTGCCACATTGCCAGCATGTGCCAAGCAATATCTGCCAGTTGCCATGACCCTCCAGAGACTCCTGGAGCAGGTGCTGCCAGGTGCCACAGTACATGTTGCCACAACTTCCCCATGAATTATGCTGCATGCTGCAATGTGCCATAATGTGGAATGCCATATCTGTTAGATGCTACTGCTTCCAAATACAAGGTGTTGCACTGCTGAGCTATCCTGAAGCATGCTGAGGTCTTGTGCCAACTTCCAGTGCTAATCTACACATGCTGCAGCATGCCACTGGATAGGTGACATCTCACACTAGGCTACTCCAGGTACTACAGGGACAATTTGATTGTGGCCTACTCATGTGTTATTTGATAATAGAAGCTGGGCTGGTCCATACAGCAGGGGGATGACTCAATGTAGGGCTCAACCTCTGCTGGCCCATGGGACATGGCCAATTGTCAGCCTCTGCTGGCCCTGTCATATGGTACAATGTAGGTACATTATGTGTCTGTTCTTGCCACTGCCTCATCTGTTTCAACAGCCCATTGTACCCAAGATGCCAATTCTTCACCACCTTTGCTCATGCACTTGCATGTATGTTTTTCAGCCTCTCAAAGGGTGTCAGGGTGGTGAGAAGCTCCTGTTCCTTCACAATGCATCATCCTAAGCTTTGCAAGAGTTCCCCCCCCCCCCCCTCCAGCTCCAAAATATCCACCTCTGACTCATCCAAACTGGCTTCTGACTTCACTCCCAGTGCCTCCCTCACCAGAAAACTGTAGATCCTCTGGCTGATGGTTGACACTTCCATCCCAGTCACATTCAAATGTTTCCACCTCATCAACACAGTCTGCTTGACTGACATCTTCATTTTCAGGTTCAGAATCTGTCAGAAGCTCGATAACAGGGTTGCCAGCATTATTCAGAGAGCTTTTGCTTTGGTGAGACTTTCCAGCACGAGCTGCTGTGGCAGCTTTCGAAAAGCAGTTTCTAGTGCGACTCAAGCAAGGCATGGCCTTCAAGTTCCAGTCATCGAGCAAAGGTTTGTCACAAATTTATTTGGTCCATTGTCACGTGCCCCCATTGTAAGCAGCATGTAATGGACCACTTGCCATTATAATGGTCAGGTTTGGCTAGATTATAGCAAATATGTGATATTTTATCTAAGATATAGTGCAAATGTGTAAAATATTATGTACAAATACCCATTTTTGGCAATCTTTCAATGACACATGGGTGGCATTGGCATGGCTTATAACAGAAGTGTGAACAGCCACCCTTAACATGTATTATAAGGTTCTTATCACGTGCCCAAGAAATTTGCGACATTACTTTACTTTACTCCATTAGCATGGAAAAAGGCAATGTTGAACTTCGACCCTTCGCTTGGCTGCCAGTCCAACTTTCGGAGCTTCTCAGCGCCTACTGAACCCCTACGCCGTTCGTTCGCTGGCTGATTTTGCGTCTGTACCAAAGTGGCGGTGACTAAGTGAAGTGCACCATAGTTCCAAAACTGCACGATGCAGCTCAATCGCCTCCCCTAAGTCGCGTGTGTCAGCTTGCTTCTTGAACCTCGCCACGAGGTTGCAGGTGAGGTTGTATAGAGATACGACACGACTAGGATGTCCTGCTGGACAGAGCTCCAGTGCGGCACGTCCGAGCGTCACAGCTTCTTCTAGGTCGGTAACTGTTCCCTGATTGTCGTATCTACCCGAAAGACAGATAGCAAGTTGATGGAGCGATGAGGACCGTTGAGGATGTCCAGAGGGACGTAGTTCCAAGGTTGCATGGAGAAGCTCAATCGCCTCCTCTAAGTCGCGTATGTCGGTTTGCCTCTGAAACTTCTTCCTGAGGTCGCAAGCGAGATTATGGAGAACTTCAGCACGGCCAGGATGTCCTGGTAGACGGAGCTCCAGTGCGGCGCGTCCGAGTGTCACAGCTTCTTCCAGATCGGCAACTGTGTCCTGATTGTCGTATCTACTCGAAAGACAGATAGCTAGTTGGCAGAGCGATGAGGAGCGCTGAGGATGTTGAGAGGGATGTAGTTCCAAAGCTGTACGGTGCAGCTCGATCACCTCCTCTGGGTCGTGCATGTCAGCTTGTTTCTGGAACCTTACCAGGAGGTCGCAAGCGAGATTGTAGAGAGAAGCGGCGCGATCGGGATGCCCAAGTGGACGGAGCTCTAGCACTGCCCGTCGAAGGATGATGGCTTCCTCCAAGTCACTAAGTACCCGCAGCGCGTCGTATCTCTTCGAAAAACAAAGGGCAAGGCAGCCGAAGTGACAAAGCCCATTGTCATTCTCGAGGGGTCGGAGTTCCAAAGCAGCACGGTGGAAAGTGATCGCCTCGTTGAGGTCGTCGATTTTACGCTCTTTCTCGAATCTCTCGTAGAGGGCCCTGGCGAGATTGGCGAGGACAATATCACGGACATCATGCCCTGGAGGACGGCGTTCCAACTTTGCTTCGCCAGCGGGAAACGTCGTCTGCTGAAGCCATTGAGTATCGTTACACTGGGATGACATACTCGGTGGGAATCGTTTCGCCTTGGCGTTAGGTTCGGTGATCAGCTGCGATGAAAGAACAGCGGAGCCATACTTTATCCCTCGAAACGAGGAAAGGTAATCTTGGGCGTCAGAACACTACGACCTACATCAGCGATGTCGCCGATACTAACTGAGAGAGTGTGATTGAACTCACAGTTAAAGCCAAAGTATATAACAATCTTGAGCGCTGTCGGTGCGAAGGGATAACACTGGATGGAGGTCAATGCATATAACCCAACGATGAGCTGATAGGAACCTCACCGGTAGACGCGAATAGTGGAAATTGGGTGGAGAAGCGACCGGAAATTTGGCTGCGCTCCTTGAGTAAGAGTAAGTCATGCAGACAGCAGACAGAACATGGCGGGAGCTCACCCGCAGCCCAGCAGTTGGTGGACGTCTGTGGGAGAGAGGGCAGATGGCTACGACTTACAAAAAGTACAGGACATCATGCACATGTCTCTACCCCATAGGGCGCTGTTCGGTCACGTTTCTAACATGTCTGATTGGCGCCACTGATATATACTCTTGAAGAGGCATCCACGACAGCGCCAACCCTGTATCATATGCATACTATCTCTTGAACGGGGACGAAATAAGCCCTAAATGTAACTTTAGCACTGTCTGCCAGGTGCATCTCAGCAACTCGGGAGCATGTGTACTTGCATTGGGTCATGGGTAGTGTATGCGGAGAAGGACACGACAGGGTGAGCGCCATGAGCTACACACAGTTAGCGAAAAGGCCCATCAAACGTATCAAGGAAAAATCAGAAGACCACTAGGTGTGCCACGATTTGGATTGGTATACCTACATGTTGTATTGGGTGTACGGAAAGCGTTCTGTATCATCAGATGATGTTGATGAGCACTTGCCTGCCACAAAAGTAGAATGTATGAAAGTTGTGAGACGTATGTAGCTTTGGACTTGTGCTGTGTAATAACAACTATTTCATGTTGGTCCGCCCGGTGGGAGTGGAAACGTTTGCTTCGAGGGGCGTGATCCTTGGCTCCAGACATGAGTACCTAACCTTCGCCTCACCAGAAAACCTTCCGCAGGGGCTCATTCGCTCCATGGTTTCCCAGATATTAGAACGCCGCTTTACAGGTTCCATCTTATGTCCCATCTCCATCACATCGTTTCCGCCAACTAGGTATCCCTGGAAGTTACCGTGTTGCATTCTCCTGCACACACTCAGGATGAACCGGCATTCTGGGACGCCAACGAAAGCAAGCCCAACGTCGGTGACACCTATGAACACGACGCCATCATTTGAGAGCAGCTTCCCCTGACTGGGGTGTTACGGTTGATGACCTGCTCGCCTTCGTTAGCGAACAGCCGGACCCGACAATGTCCAAGTCAATTGCAGCCTGTGCAACAGCCATGAAACCGGCAACCGAAGTCCTTCGGGTAACGAAAGAGTCCGTAATGGAGGTGGTATTGGAGGGTATCGGGGGCAAAACCGTTTAAAGGCGTTTTAAGAGAAGGGGACAGTGGGTGGTCGGATATAAACAGAGGAGCAGGCGACATTCTCTGGCATGTCCAGAAAGACTAGAAGCCAGAAAGGTCATGACAATCTGAAGGTATCAACTATTTAGAGTCCGACGGAACTTAAAGCACGATGGAAAATACCTATTAACCGCTACTTTCGTTTTTTAAGGACTTCATGCTCTAGCTGAGCCAAAAAGGCATCCGCATCCGTCGTCTTCGCCGCTTGTGAACGAACTGCTGCTCGCTTAGGTTCAGGTGACGGCGGGTTAGGTACCTGCCGTTCTAATGCAGCGAAGGGATCCTTAGACGAAGTGGCAGCAGGAGTCTGTAAGATCGACTTTGGTTGCGAATTTGGTGCCACATCCCCCTCAGTTTTCAGTTTCTTCCGTTTCGCCTCGAGTAAAGCACGCCTGTTTTCAATTTCTCTCTTGCGTTTCTCAAGCGCTCGACTGCCAGAATCCTCGGCACGCATACCCTCCACTTCACCAGGAATCACGTCCACCGCACCCGTCTCCTCTCGCGTTTTCTTCGTTTCCTCGCGGACGGATCGAAGCTCTTCCATCTGCTGCCTCCTGGTTTCCTCATCTGCAGAGAACCGGTAGAACGCAGCACCCTTTGCGCGCACTTCTTTCGCTGCATCGTAATGCATTTCAGGACGTTTCTGTGCCTCGGCTAGCTCCTCTGCCACAGCCTGGACTCGCTCTGCAGAAGGCTCATAAACTGGGAAGAAGTCCACAGGGTTGTCTATGATCAGTGTCAGCAATCAGTCATTTGTAATATTGTAAAGCCCGCATATACATACATATGACGTCCCTAGAAGATCGCCATCAGCAATTGTGGTTACGCAGTAATGAAGTTAGGTCAACTCACTCGTCCCCTATTTCTTGGTCTTTAGAAGTGGGCAACAGATGTCGGGGCACTTCGGACCTGCGTGCGGTCCGTATGCGACCAAATTCATCCTCGTATTCGATGACTGGATCATCCTGAAAAATGTGTGAAGCGGCGATGATGAACAGTGTTCTAGATGAACTTACATCATACTCTTGTGCTCTTGGAACGGTGAGAGACTCGTCGACGTCGTCGCTATCGGATTCATAGCGATCCATGGTCTTCGAATCAAACTGACACCGTAAAGCCAAATACTCAGTATCCGCACCAACAGCAATCCAACTAACCAATGTCACTCACATCCACCAGCAGCGCGTCATACTGCTGTTCGCTGAGACCACCAGACTTTCCTTTCCTCAGCTTCTCGTACAGCTGAGCTTTGCGCTCGAGAGCAGCCCGCGCCGATTCCACTGTCGACCTGCTGACCTCCTCCAGCTCAATGTCTCGCCTCGCCCGAGCCTCAACACCCTTGTTAGGACCGAGCCCATGTCGTCGACTTGCACGCGCACACAGCCTACATTAGTCGTCTCGGCAAAACTCGAACACATATTGCATACCTTGGTCTTCTTGGCTTCGCTGAGATACTTGGCGCCAGTTGTAGCTTTGTTCTTCGTAAATTCCTCGGCTTGCTTTGCGAGCTCAGACTTCAAATCAAAAAAAGACGTTGCGCTGACACCGCCGGCCTTACCCTTAGTCGCGGGCGCCATTGTGTGCTGATAATGGGTCGGGTATACGTTGAAAGGTTCGCGGGCAAGCGCCTAATGAGCTCACGTGACCAAATCGTCTAGGGGCATACCAACTAGAGACGGACACCCATTCAAATTTTGAAATGCATGTGCATAGTCCGATAAAAGCAGGTAGTCAAGCAGTCTACATATGTCACGATGCACAATGGTCACAACTACAGCCTACAGATATCTGAAACATATTCCCAAAGTCAGCTACGACATCACCACCAAGGAAAGGGTGAGGTACCCACGTTGCATCGATCTGAGTAAGATGTGGGAGAGCTAACCTTATCTTTCTCATATAGTTCGCGCCCTCAGTGCTTTGACAAGGGTTTGCTTCAAGATATATTGTTTCAAGTGCGGAAATGTGTCTGAGCTGGGGTTCAAGCGCATGTAGATCTGGGATCTTGTTCCCTCCCAGCTGAGTAGAGGGTACGATCATGTCAGCACCGGTCCGTGCGGCGTAGGCATAACCCACCCAAAGGTCCTCCAACGACGTAAGATGGGAGACGTTCTCAATGGCTGAAATGAAGTTCGAACCCACATCTAACATCTTGAGTTTCGTCTGGTCATATTTGTGTTAGGGCACGTCACATATGACGGTGACTTAGAAGTTCTCTCACATTCCGTTCAAGTCCCTCCAACCTCTCTATACCATTGTGGCTGAGAAGCAGCTGCTCGAGGTTTTCTAACTTCTCCAAATTCTCAATCTTGGTTATCCGGTTCGATTGGAGCGACAAAATTGTCAACTGCTTCAAGTTGTCCAAATTCTATGCGAAGGTTGGTAGTAGCCCACAGACAAGCTGTACTCAACGACCTTACCTCGATCCGGGTGATCTTGTTCTTTCCCAGCCAGAGTTCTTTCAGGTTGACAAGTGCGTCCAAGCCCTCTATCCGCTGGAAGGGGAAAAACGTGTTAATACGAACCAGATTTACAAAAAAAAGAAATTGTCATAGCTACCCTGATACGGTTTGCTCCCAACTCGAGGGAGGTGAGGGTTGCACCGAGACCTTGCAACCCAGTGATATGCGATATCCGGTTTTGCACAAAGAACACTATTTGTAACGCCGTCAAACGGGACAGCGTTTCTGGAATTTCCCGCAGGACGTTAAAGGAAAGGTCCAAGTGCCTGAAAGATAAGAATATCGCGTTCCACTCAGAACATCCGCGAAAATTCTGGCAATCAGACCAGAAGCCCACTCTAGTGAAATCAGGTTGTTCAGCGCATCTCCGACATGCTTAATCTTGTTATCGTAGAGGTCCAAGTGTTCTAACTTGGTCAAGGGTTGAAAGATTTCTTGATCGAGCTCTTGTATCAGGTTTTTCCGCAGGACCAATCGAGTGAGGTGGCCGGCGAAGCGTTGAAGCCTCAGAGGGGCTAGTGAAGTGATCCGCATGTCCCATAGATCCAATTCCTGTACGGGAGGCTCCTCGTAGGACAAGTGGGGCTAATATGAGAGATAAACCTATCACTTACAGTCGTTTCATCGGGGTAATTCTCCAGAAAGTTCTCGTCATCAGCGTCGTCAGCGTCCGCTACTGCATCACCCGCTTCGTCATCGTCCCGATCACCGGCATCGTGGTCATCTCCAGAAGTTAACACCACCCTCGCGGTCGGGCTAATAAATCAATAGGAAGATACGAGCATAGGTTAGGTCTTAACCGAAGTTTCCACTCTCGCTTACCGTTCCTCGGTGGCGGGTACATTGTTCGCGCCCGAACTCTCGGCATTTATAGCGGAGCCTGACATGGCCACCAGTTTATATGGCAGTATGACGGTCGACTCGATGTTAAGTCGTTCCCTCCCTGGCTGGAAGTGGGAGCGCCTATATAGGATACTAACCCTGTGTACCCCAAATTTAGGTAACAAGGGTATGATTGCTCCGGTGGCTGTACACATCGACATTCGGTTACGAAACAACACCGAAACCTCGTGTAGGGTCACAATATTACCAGTATGTAACTTCGTACCTTATAAGCATCACCCCGTCATTCCCCCCAACACTTCTATAAAAAAAGACCAAGTGCTGACCTCATGAAATGAACGAAGAGCCAGTGCCATCTAGAAACCCGGCATTTTCACAGGGTCCCCCTCAGGTTTGGAGGTCCAAGGGGATCTCCGCTCATTTCGACCTGGCCAGTTCAATCTGTTTTATTAGACGTCCAGTAGTACGATAGAAATACACTTTGAGACTAATAGAATACTATTTTTTCCTAGAGGGTCCACTTGTCTGAGGGAAGAGTGTAAACGGCTGACCATGAGTGAAGTGGATAGATAGTAAGATACCACTGCGAAATGAAAACAAGCATGCGCTAACTGGCTGAAACTCATGGCATCTCACTACATGCACGCAACAAATAAACCTCAGAAAACGAATATCTGCATAAAGATGCGCTTCAGCGCTGCATGGCCATCGTGAACCTATCATACTTGGCCTCCGAAGATCCAGGTGGAGGTGCCAGGTATCGATCATCGACCTTGTCTCGTTCAAAGGAAGGCAGGGGGGTAAGAGTCCCCACTGGTGACGCATTGGCAGAGGTTGTCGAACTGACGTAACCGCTGTATGGTGCAAACCGCGAGGAAAGGGGAGTCGTATCTTCCCGATTCCTATAGCTACGGTGCGTCTGTTGGGTTGCCAGTGGAGATGGCGCAGCCTGGAACGAGCCACTTGGTTGGAACGATGACCGTCGATCGCTTCTCGGTTGGACACCACGAGCAGGCGGGGGATGCGAGTAATGTACAAAATTAAGGCTGGGAGGCGATGGCGACGCCTCTGTCGCCACGGGACTGTGTTGTGAGTAAATCTCGCTACCAGATGCAGAGCCAACCGAACTACTCTCGAAGGCGGTAGATCGGGCAGTGGCACCGGCAATCGCTATTGGCGGAGACTGGGGATGAATAGAGTCCTCTTTGAACCCCACAGACGCGGGCTTCTCCTTTTTCCGGCGCTGTCCCGTCACCACGTGTCCCTCCTTTTTCGCACGGGAACGGGCGTAGCGGAGACCACACCTGTGGCACACGTGAGGGAATTGCTCGGCAGATAGCAATAGACGACGTACGCATTGCAAAGTTCTTTCCGTCCGCTAGGACCCTTCCGCCACTCAGGACTTTGTGTCGTCTTACAGCTGGTGCACTTCAGTGTACCAACAGGGCGGTTGCCTGGGCGACTGTACACATCGCGTATTACTCCGGGGCTACCGCGACGTCTTGGGGGCGGAACGCCATCTGGGAAAGAGCTTGACAGTCCAGGAATGTCACTTCCGCGCCTGTCGATGTACTCTGCATTCGGGTTTGCTGGGGTTGAATACCCGTGTTGTGGCGCACGCAAATCACCGAAAGTCGGGGAGTCGCCGGGCCTGCATGGAGACGGAACTCCGTACGTTGCTTCGCGGACAGGGCATGACCCGGGAATTGACGCCATTGGTGTTGAACTACTGTTGGGCCACCTGTTGTAATTCAAAAGCGAAGAGCACTCTGTGTGTCCCGTCCAGGACTGAGATGGATATGGTGATGAAAGAGAATTACTGAGATGGTTGTAGGTTGGGATTGACGCGGATACGGGTGGAAAAGTATAAGAATTCGCTGACATATCATAAGCATGTTGAGGCGTCTGGGATACATGACTTTCGTTGGTTCTTGTTGGATACTGCGGATGTGACGGCGTGCCGACTCCGTTGCGAGGGTTGGGCTGGATCGTATGACATGCGAACATGATAGCTCCTACATTGGCAGTGAGAAACACATGGCGCGAAACGTGACGCTAAACAAACCACGGACCATGAGGTATGAAGACGCTCTCCACTTCGCCATTGATTGCAGGCATTGTGCCACCAATTCTCCATCTCTTTGTGCAGTTCGTCTTGACATTACCGTCGTGCGAGGATGGCAGGACACCTTCCGCTCTCCTGGCAAAATCCTTCGCAGACGGCTTGTTGGAGTATTCATGGCTGGTGTCCGGCGGCCAGGTGAACAGCAGCTGGTAATCTTGATTGCTAGAATTGGTCAAGATCTGGAACACCTTGCTGAGCACTCCGGGCTGCGGGCAGCAGCAATGCAGCCGTTGGTAAAGAAGTTGTAAATGGCTCGAGTTCATCATCGGCGTTCCGCACCAAGTGGCCCAAGGTGACTTGGGGTGTTCATTATTATCCGCGAGGTCGAGTTCAGGTACTGCATGTATGAAACACAGGACTAGGCCTTCTGCGGCCCAGCTGATCACGATATCGACGGGCATGTAGTATTCATTGGACGACGCTTTGTCGGCGTCGTTCCATGACTGGTTCATGCCGACGTACCCGAGGATGCGACGGACTTTGGGTAGTCGGCAATATCTTACCCTAAAAGGGGGGTGTATGAAGTTCTTGACATGCTTGGCAATAAAGTGGACGGACCTTGTCACGCTGCCGTGCATAGTTTTTTGCTCGAGGGCATCTGTCAGGTCGTTGCGAGCGGTCTCTTGCTCGTCGGGATGCACGAAGTACAAAAGGGACTTTCCGAGGAGTAATGGCGCCTGATCGTCGAGATGATTAGCAAGGATGGGATCAAGATAGATGAAAGAGAGGTCTGATGATAGCAGGGACCAGTCTGAAATACAAAGAGAGTCAGTGACGTGTTCCGCAGAAACCGGAAGACGACGATCGGGGGGGCCGCCGGGACAGGCGGCGCATAATCAGGAAGACATGACGAGAGCTTACAACAGCGCGTTTCCCCTAGCTTTGGTAAAGTGTGTGCCATTGGATCTGGAGGCAAAGGAGGTAGAAAGCAAGTATTTGAGGCGGATGGCATGCCCTGGTGAGGGTGAGGATACCCTTGAAAGGAGGAAAGGGGCAATTGCGATCTGTCTGGATGGTTATGTACTGAAGGGAATTCAGTTAATGTTTGTTGGACCAAGCCTCGTTGCGACGGCACGAGGAAGCTCATGACTGTAGATGGAACGTTGACGCTGTCACCGCGACCGACATGGGGGTACCACAGCCAGATCCAAATCGTCACTTACATTTTCTCGTCATCCACCAACGAAAATGTTTGTCTTCGATTGGTACGGCTTACCTTTTCAGGAAAAGTAAGATAACTTGATTGATCGAAGCCCATCACTAGTTGGAGTGCGCCACCGATGCCCGTCCCAACAAGAACACAAGAAAAAAACATATGGATAGCAGCAGGTGACGGTGACTTGCTCAGAGTCCAGGTTTGACCCCTTAGATATGCGATCCACTGCTGGCTTGTGCTGAAATCTGTTCCAGGAACTCGTAGAACAACAATGCACGTCTCTTCTTCCCTTCACCCGGCATCATATATACCGTTTTAACCGGGATCCTACACAGCGATCTCTCCGAACGCTCCTGATCCATTCACTTACACTCCAATGCATGCAGCTGCATCTTATGGCCAACACCAAGTGTTGTCCTATCTCGTCAGCAAGGGTAAGCCAGACGGGTGATCTTCACAGCCCTGAACGCCTCTTCTCTAAAGCACCTCTTCAGGTGGCGATGTGAACGTCACCGACGAGGACGGTGATACACCCTTGTACACAGTCGAAAACGTCGAAACAGCCCAGTGGCTTATCAGTCATGGCGCAATCACCGACAGACGTAATAACGAAGGCGTCTCGGTGAGTAACGATCTCCTCCAGCGCGACCGATTTACATGTGATAGCCGAAAGCCGGCGGACCATTTGGAGGAGGATTTTCCCGACGTCGCCGCGTTTCTGAGGTCACAGTTGACCGGACATCCGGTCGTGCCCAGCGAAATCCCGATTTCACAACCATCCCAGCACCAACAAGATGCAGCATCAGAAACCCTAACCTCAGCGTTGATGCAGTCGGTACAAGATATCATGCAGCGGGTCGAGACAGATGGCAGGAATCCAGACGAAAGAGCTCAGACAGGTTGTCAGCCGGGCTGTTCTGGAGGGTGTCTTGACAGGTTACGAGATGTCAAACCAGCAAAACCGGCAGGAACAGGATTCCGACTCCGAATCCTTCAAGCGCGCCAGGACGGAAGGGGGCGGCGACAGCGGTGGGGATTGAAATATTGACCCGCCGCCGGTACCGCTTACGACCTGATACATAGATATGCTTAGTCTACGTGTGTATCTGCCAGCGCCTAGTTATGATCTATTGATCAGATTACTGTTGTTTTGATCATGATCGATCAAGAGAGCTGTCACCATCGCAAATCCTGTACACTAAAGTTAAGTTACCGACCCCCAAGTCAACCACTAGTGTGTAGCGCGCGCTCCCGTGGCCCCTCGGACCAGAACCACATGGTCAACGGGACATGTGCACCCCCCACAATAAGGAAATGCGGCAACCACAAACGTCGTGTTCTTCGTGTGTGTCCGGCTGTCCGCAGTGAGTAGAAATTATTGTTGACCAGACAACGTTCGGAGCCCATCATCGTGCGATGGACATGTTCACCACTGGTCTGGCTGCCGCCAAATTAGCACATTTTCAATTCGAAGCTGGCTGCAATAAACGGAGTCTAAAGGATGACCAGCTCAAGGCCTCATGACTCTCAAAAGTGGTTAGGTTGAACCAAAAACAACTTCTTCAATCAATCAGCGGACCGCAGTGTAGTGACCCTCTGCCTCGGTGAACCTGTGCTGCTTGACAAATACTATTACTGTCCATTGCGCACCTTTGAGATAAGGACACCTGAATCTCTACGGACAGGATTGGTGGAGTCCTTTCGAGGCCCGAGTGGTTATGGAGCGTAAATGGGACGTTCCGTCCGCAACACCATGGGTCCATTTCCAAGATTTTGCATAATGGCTCAAGAGAGATGGTTCGGAAGAAGAGGCAGTCCTTTGCTACCCAAGAAATGCTGGGCGCCCGAATGGACAACCAGCAGGTCAAACATGCGCACAACACGCTGCTAGCTGGAATTGCCTTTTTTGGATTTATGTGATGCTTTATCCACCACATCGTCTCGCCATCTGTGCCGTGTGCCGCGTACACTAGTCCTGGAAGGAAAATGTCACCGTTTGCGGCTCTGGCGACGACAGTCACGCTTGAGGACATAAAGAATAAGGCCGTAGGAGATTTCAAACCTCATGAGACGGCAGTCCTTGCCCTTTCTGCTGACTGCCGATCCCAAGGTTATCAGGCGATGTGTTTGCCACTAACCACTACGAAATGGCAGGAGCGGTGGAAAAACATGTGCATCGTGCCCTCTGTAGAAGATGCTGGAAACGAAGCGGCCATAGCAGCTGACAAAGAAGCCGAGGCTTGGAGGAAGTCTCCTTCATTCCTACTTGATGAGGTGACGATTACAAGACTAGGTGAGATATCAATTATTACGCGGCGCCCGTCCGATGTGCCATTAAAGAAATGAAAATGATAGATGAGGCGGAGTTCGTGCTCGCAATGGCATCTGAATGGCTGCGCCTCGATTCCGACGATGATTGGGTCCGCCATGATTCAGGCATTGTAAGTTCCCGACATTTACATGGTGATTCGTCTGTGCTGCGACTGTCCGTCGCACGTTCGAGCCAGTGACCCCGTAGAGGTGCTCAGGTATCACATCGGCAGTTACTGACTGAACTCACCTTTCGTACTCAGGCTTTGCGACAGGAAGTGGCTTATGCATCCTATCTCAATGTCCATACAATCATCCTGCCCCCACCTCGAAACCGATCACAGGTCGCCTCCTATGCACGCGTCATCAACGAGTGTCTAAAAAGCATCCCATATATGCAATTCTCCGTCCGGCTGCCCATATATGATCCCGCTGTGTTTCAATCCAAGGAACCTTCTTCACCTATGTCTCACGGCGATCACGGGTGGAGTGGAGCGTCGTCGCCTCCGCACGCACCAACTACACCACCGAAACTTGCCACCCCAGGCTCATTTCCACCGGGATCTCTTAGATCCACCAAGGCGCCCGAGGGCGAACTCAACGCTACTTGGGAGATGTGGGATATCATCCGCAACGTCTGCGACTACAATATACGGTTGACCCTCGGTGAGTTCACCATTACTGGCTTTAACCACTCATGTTCATGTCATTCATTAGCCTTGGATCTGACTCCTCCGCTCCCGGCCAACGCCGGAGTGCTTGGCCGCTGGGCGGCCGAGCCTGTGACGCACATCTTTTTGCCTGCATCGGCATTCATCGCTAACGTGAAGGGATATCCAGTTTTGCCAAAAGGTACTCAGATGTTTCTCCGTCAAAGCATGATCGTGAGTTCGTCATCGTGTGGTTTACATTTACATACGTCCAACTCGGATGGGCTCAGCATCGGCCCACTTTTATCCTATCTGGCGTTAGGTGCGGACTGCACGCGCAAGGAGGCGAATCGGCGTACGCGCAATATGTGAAATACCTCGAGAAATCGAGCCCGTCCGTCCAGGCAATGAAGACAGAAGGAACCGTCGAAAACTTTGGACAAGGTTACCAGGATTATCTACAGAATCCATTACAGGTAAATCCAATCAACCATCCTTCAGGGCCAAATTCTGATGATCCTGCGTGGCCGTGATAGCCGTTGATGGATAACCTGCAGTCGATTACGTATCAAACCTTCGAGCAGGATCCCGTCAAATACCACAACTACGAAGAGGTGCGCGGGGTCTGACAGGATATACTTTGTGATCAACGTTGAAGTAGGCCATCTACCGCGCACTGGTCGACCTGCCTGATAGTGACCGCATGTGGGTGCTCAGTGTTTTCTGCCAAATGGAGGAGTTTAAAATTGAACCACAGTGTGATATGTGTCGCTGGTGCGGGGCGTGGACCCCTCGTGGCCCGTAGTCTTAAGGCTGTCCGGCGGTCCAACAGGCAGGCTTTCATCTACGCGCTGGAAAAGAACCCGACTGCGTGGATTACGTTCGTCCTGTCGTATTTCATCTCCCACGATCTAATCGGACTTCGCAGTTTGCAGGAACGTAAAGCCAAAGACTGGGGCTCCCCAGTAGAGCTCGTTTTTGGAGACATGAGACATGTCGAACTGCCCGAGAAAGTAGACATTCTGGTCAGCGAGCTGTTGGGTTCGTTTGGCGATAATGAACTCAGTCCTGAGTGTCTTGACGGCGCAATGCGTTTCTTGAAGTGTAAGTGTGCACGACGTCGATGCAACGTGACTTGTTAGTGACAAGTCGCTTAGCGGATGGAATTTCTATACCGAGTTCGTACACCGCGTATCTCGCCCCTCTATCTTCTTCGAAGTTATACAACGCGGCGCGGGAGAGCAGGGAGTTGAAGGGTGTAGAGACGCCGTACGTGGTGATGTTCCAAAATGTCAATCTGCTGAGCGGCGATGGTGGTGGTGTTGGGGGGCGATGTGGTCCCAAAATCCAGGAGTGCTGGGATTTTGTGCACCCTAGAGGAGATGTGGCGGTCGATGATGGAGGTCAGATCTATCACCCCTCTGCGTACCTATGCCTATGAAGTGGGGCTAACAGCGGGTTGTTACAGGACTTCCATTTACGAATAGTCATAACGTCCGTGCTGCTAGGTTGTGTTTCCACATCCCACATGCGGGTGTGATGCACGGATTCGCGGGGTATTTTGAAGCTGTACTCTATGGCCACGTTGGCTTGAGCATCCACCCACAACGAAAGGATTACATATCCAAAGACATGCTGAGCTGGTTTCCACTGTTTTTTCCACTACGTGTGCGTCGTGCAATGCAAATCCTTGGCAATGAAGGAAACTCATGGATTGCATCTATACACAGGAGCCTCTGTATTTACCTAGCAACTCAGAGGTGCAGGTGTCTCTATGGCGATTGACCAACGACCGACAAGTGTGGTACGAATGGTTTGCAGAATCGTTTCTTCCGGTGTTCAATTCGCCGTCGCCGGTGGATCAATCTGAGGACGTTTTGGGTCCAGACGGGTCCTTCTTCGCATCGACTTCGACACATGTTGCGGTACCCAGCCCGTTGATTGATGCGATAGATGCGTTCCCGTTAACCCCACGTTCTGTCGGGCCAAGAACAGGGGCGGAATCGGCCAGGTCGGCTTCTGGTGTGGTGAAAATTGGGCAGACTGCCCTCCACAACCCTGGCGGGCGGAGTAGTTGGATAGGGCTGTGACGAGCGCTGTCAGCTGACACACCACCTGACACTACCGACAATAGGTACGCACAGCAGACTAGATACAAATTCAGTGCTGCAATAAACTGGTACCGAGATGACTCTGCGAGTGAGCGTGGCGAGCTACTAACCCTAAACCTTCATCCCCAATAGTACTGATAGCTCCGGCAACTCATCAAGCTCCGCTGCCACATTCGTAGTTCGTTCACTTGCATCCAGGGCCTTCTCAGCCTTGTGCTCTGTTAGATTTTTTTTTTTTCAAATTGGTAGCGCTCTGCGAGCTAACTGCGGGGAGTCTCCATCTTGTCTTGGATGGTCAACAGGAAGATTATTGATACCCAACACGTACCAGTACTTGTGGTGCTCCCCACGAGCTGATAGCTCTCATGTTATATCACCACACCCATAGGCTCGGATACTGTACCCCGGGTGCTCATCCATGGATTGTGATTGTGATGCAATCCGCGAAGACAGGCGTGTCTTCTTTTTGCCAGTCCGCACAGTCTTGGAGGGATTTTTCTTGGGAGTGTTGTCGACGTCTAGCTCAGCAATAAATGTCACGTACGGCCTGGAATCTTTTTGCACTTCCGTAGAAGCCCCTTTTGGCTATGTAGTAAACACCTCGTTCGGGAAAAAACCGAGCATCTTCTGGTCGATTGTGTGCACTGAGATGGCCTGCCTACCGCCGTCGCCTCACTTGAATGAAAAGCGCCGACATCGAGTGCTCTTCTACTTTATCGTCTTTGTCAAGTAAGATGGGGATATCGATATCGATAGCCTTCTGATGATCATGGCAAATTATGCGGCACCCCTCACAAAGCCCGAAACCATCAAACCCTAAGCCTTCATCCCCAATTGTATTGATAGCTCCAGCGAGTCCTCCGCTGGGGCCCACCCCCACATTTGCAGCTTGTTCATTTGTATTCCCCGAGCTCCTCGGCCTTGTACCACGTTATACGCTTGTTCCAGAATGGCCGCACTTTGCGAACTAACTGCAGGGAGTTTATCTTGTTCAGGATGCTCAACAAGACCCAACGGTACTTGTGATGCTCCCCAGTGCCCACAACCTTCTATGTTGGGGTACTACACCCATAGGCTCGCAAGCTGTACCTTGGGTGCTCTGCCATGGACTGCGCTGCAAGCCGCTGAGATTTGCGGGTCGCCTTACCCTTATCGTTAGTCCGCACGGGGGGGGGTTTGCTTGGGGGAATCACCGACACCTAGCTCGGCAACAAGGGTTACGTATGGCTTGGAAGTCCCTTTTAGTTGAACCCTGTTAGGGGGAAAGCCAAGTGTCTCCTAACCGACGGTGTATGTATAGAGATAGCCTGCCTGCCACCGGCGCCTTACTTGGATGACAATGGCAGATATCGAGTGTTCTTCCAGAGGATCGTTTTTGTTAAGTAAGATTGGGATAGCGATAGCAGCATCCTTCTGTTGACCATGGCAAATGTATGCGACATCCCTCAAAAAGCCTGGGACCATAGACCTTGATTGCACGACAGATTCATCCGAAACTACGTTGTTGTCTGGGGTAAGACGGAAGCATCGGAAAACAAGGCTGTCAAAAAGTGGAGGAAACCACAACCCTTGCTGAAGTTCGCTTCGGGAACATCAATATGTTCAGCGAGAATGGCATGGATGTATGCCATCCAAGCGCACGACGACTTCATCCCCTCTGGGGGAGGTTGATCAGCCCAGAAGCAAACTTCGGCTGCAGATATTCGATCATGGAAAGTTTCAAACGCGTCAAGTAGTAGGCCATCTGGCACGATGCGGCCACCGCAAGGAAGGGTTCGGATGGATATCCAGAGCGGATGTAAAGGTGGCGCTCTAGAACATTCGAGCGGGTGTTCCCATTTTCTCCCAGGTGAATTGTATTGAGACATTCAAGGTTGTGAGCACCGCCATGTCAGTAGGTTTGTCCAAGACCTTAACGGTACAAACGGGTTTCCTGCGAGCCAGTGTCATGGCATCATTAATGAGCGTAGATCTATCTTCTCTGCCCGCAGGGGCTTCAATCATTATCCGAAACCTGCAGCACCAATATTAGCAAATGCGAAGCCTGGTGGACCAGATCTTGTACAACAACCACCCAAAGCGTGCCAGAAATGACAGCTCCCCGAGGTCTTCCAGCGTGAGTCGTACGGGCCTAAGCGGGAAACTAGGGTGGTGTTGCCGTAATAGGCCGAGGCAGTTGTGTATTTTGCTGTCGAACTGACCGAGCTAGTGCAGCAGACGGAGCTAAAAGGGATGAGGAGAATTCGGTTGGGAGGAACAAGGTAAAAATAGTGGCCCGGACATGAACGCGCGGGACTAATGTGACTACCCATAGGCTGCAGAGATGAGAGCTGGTCCGTACGATGCGCTGAAAGTCGATGACTTGCATTTGAAGTGGCTTAAAGCTGTCCACGCAGCGCCGTACAATGTCTTTTTCACCTCGCTACCGGAATTTCATGGTCAAGTTCGTGTGCCTCATTGAAATACAACATAACCCAAATATCGTCCAAGGTCCTAAGCAATTTTGCGGACTGCGTCCGCAAGTCGTAGAATATTAGATCAAAGTCGCCACTAAGACGACCTTAGGAGGGGGGGATCGTAATAAGATCAGAAACAAGCGGGCATCCACCATACTGACCCTGTCTTCCTCGCATGCTTTTATGATTTTTTTTGCATATACTGTAACACATATCACATTTTTTGCGAACAGATGTTCCCTCCGGAGCGCCCCGAGGGCACCTGGACGTAGCTTTGCCAATTTCCAATCCCGAACATCTTTGTGATTTCCTCGTGGCCTGCGAAAATAGGAGAACTGAAGAGCAAGGTCGCGCGAGCTTTGTCATGCCACACTCTCTCAACGGCGGACACACTGCAGGGATACTTCCAGACGGCCTCATCTGAGGGCGGATAAGCCCAGCCTGACAGTAATGAAAGCAGTCAGCACCACATTGCAAGGCGACACGAGAAGGACCCTCCTTCACGCTCTGTCGGATTGCGAATATTGATGGGAATTATGAAAACTAGGGCGGCCTGCTCGTGGACCATACGGGACTTTCCTGTGCTAGAACTCTGGATTATCTAGGTAGAATTGACATGGAGCCCGTTACGATTCATGGACTTGATATTCCTTAACATGGCCGTGACAATTGCCTTGATATGTAGCATTCCAGGCCAAAGACGCAGCTTTCCGGAGTCGCGGTCAGTATAATTTGTCCGTTAAGTCAGGAAACGACTCGCTATCTACACATCAATCACGAACGCGAGCACATACCATCAGAGACAAGACGACTGACCAGGGGTGGTTGTTACTCACTTCCAGTGGTCGTAGAATTGACAGGGGTGCTGCGTCCTGCATCCAAAGTCCTATAGTGACCACCTCTCAGAGCAGCTGACAGAGATGATGGGTGAAATGGGTAAAATAACAGAAATCTCTGAGCTGCCTACGCAGGGACAAAGACCTCTTCATAGCGACCGGAGTTGATGGGACTTTCCAAATTTTGCGCAACATCAGTGTTACGTGCGATCAACTTCGCACACTCATTAACGTCTGCAGACGGCCGTGTGCGTGCTTCGGCTGGTAGTGGTCACTGCGAGTGCTCAGGCTAGTAGCAAGCTATGTCGACTCTATAAACGCCGGACCAGAAAATGTATACCCCCATTTGCTATTGACCTGCTCTGGGGCGTTCGAAGATAGGAGGCTGACATAATCAGTTGTCGTACTACCATAAAAGGCAACCAATTCGAACTCCGAGGGTGTTTTAACTTTGACAAGGCGTCGTGTCCGAAAATTCACCCGGGTCTCCTCGTTTCTAGTCGCTCCTTCTGAGTCTTCCGTATTGCCATTTCGCCATGAAATTCATCATCACCACCCTCGTTGCAGCTCTCGTTGCCTCTGCACCCGCCGTGCTCGCGCAATTGACCATCAACACTCCGTAGGTGTTCTTCCCCTTTATTCGGTCAACCACCCTCCCCGTACTGAATGAAATGTTAATGTTCACACACAGAGCCAACGTCGTAGAATGTGGTCAGTAGACTTGGAGAAATAAGAAGAAATACCATGAGAATCTGATATAGTTTCTCATAGAACCCACGCAGCTCACGTGGAGTGGCGGTCAAACCCCTTACTATCTGTCCCTCGTCCCTGGTACGTATTTCTCGCGTCTGACACGGTGTGTATGCGTTGAGCAGGCTGTATCCATCTACAGCCGGACAACCATCGGCGACACCCGTGAGTATTGTGAATTTTTCCTGTCGACAGGGTTAACGTTATGGCGTTTCCAGCTTATGCAGTTCCCTAACCAAAACGGAACTTCATACACTTGGATGGTCGACCTCCAAGCCGGAACGAACTTGTAAGTCGGTTTGTATTCTACAGAATGGGTCCCTAAGTTCACGGACTCGTCAAAAAGCAATATTGCTCTGAAGGACGGTACTGGCGCGACGGCGTATTCGGATATCATCACCGTTCAGGCTGGAAGTTCGACTAGGTAAGGCTTATTTGATCCGGAGCATGCATGGAGCGATTCACACAATTAATGTCTCACGCCAGCTGCGCGACCGCTAGTGTCTCAGGAGCCAGTGCAACTTCGGGTAGCACTGCGGCCGCCACCACTGGTGGCAGCGGAGCTACTGCGGGTTCCACCTCGGCTACATCCAGTGCCTCTAGCTCCGCTGCTAGCTCCCAGACAACGGCAACCGGCTCCAGCAACGGTGCTGACCGTGTCAGCATCTCGACCGCTTTCGGTGTTGGTGCTGTCATGAGCCTTGTCGGTGCTGCTCTCTTCTGAGTGTGATCGTAAACATAGCACGCCGTTCGTTTGGACCTTCTTCCGCTACGTACGAGATGATGGATAGATCCCTTGGACTGCCTCTTTACGCTCTCGGTTACACGTGCCGTTGTGACGTTCATTTCCCGATAGACGCGACCTCTTGGACACTGGCTCGTAAAGTACAAATCTGTTTAATCTACTGTGTGAAATCACTGTTGTTGAGAGTGTCCAGCACCCCAAGTGTGCACGTTCCGCAATGATAGTATTGTTACAAGAGTATACATATGAAAGGGAAGGCATTGCTATAGGATGTGCAATGGAGATGCGTGTATATAAATCCACGTCCGGTGCAATCCACTGTCGGGCGATCTTGCCCTCAGTACTTTACCTCCACGAGAATATTAACCACCATAAGCACCACATAGGCAACCACCAAAAATACACCCCACTTCCTCGTCAAATGATACCCATTCAGGGGTACACCCACCAGGGTAATGAGGAGCAACCCGAGCAGCCCAAATGCGCTGCTCATCAGGGAAGGCGTGAAGTGTAGACGGTAGGGATGGGCATTTGGAGTTTGAGAAATGATATAAGATCCAGAGATTCCGACTCCGAGAAGGATGTTGACTAAAGGTCCGCCAAAGCAGGCGGAGAAACCCATTATAGGGGCGAAGACCTAGCGAAAGGGAGGGGATGAAGTGAGTGAGAGGGGGAAGGAGAGGAGGAGATAGGACGTCGTACCGCGACACTCATGTTAGCAACGAGGTCAGCGAGAGAATTCCCCACAGCGAATATTGTCAGCCCGATGATAGCGTCCGACAACCCAAATATGAATCCAAATGTCTGAAAAATATGTCAGTATACCTTAGACCGCGAGGGGGGAGGGGAAGGACAAGACACACTTGGAGAACGTTCACCACTTCGTCGGCAATGGCCATGATCCAGACGATCGCGACGAAGAACCCCATCGAACACCGCGCCATACGCGCAGTCGGGTGGAACCCATCGTTGGCAAAGATCAGTACAAGCAATCCCGCCGCGACACCTCCGACCGCCGTCCCACCGAGCAACCACAAAAGATGATCTGTTCTACCTGCCCATCACGTTTAGATTCGCGCCTTCGAAAAGAGAGGAGCGAAAAGAAGGAGACCTACTGAACAAGACGGCTACGCAAAACAGCGGACCGAACACGCATTGAGCGGCCATCAACCACTTATTAAACTCCATCTCGTGAAAATCCTCCTGTATGACTTCTTCGGCCATCAACGTCCTCTCAACGCCTTCTTCCTCAAACTCAACGAGTCGCGATTCTGTTTCGGTATCATGATGGTGATGAGGGTGACGATGATGTGATGGCTTCTCTTCGTGCGTGCCGTCATTACCGTAGGGTATTACCACAACAGGAAGAGTGAGCGTCAATGCCATAACGGCGGGCGCTGCGAGAAGTGCAACGATCTTCCTGAGCAACGACTTTGACCAGAAGTGGTGGAGAGAGGGAAAGAGGATATGACACGTCCTCGCGAGGACGTGCCTTAGGCGTTCACCTTTCGTGGGTGGGACGTACCGCTCGACGTCCGTCGACGCATCAGAATCAACCGGTGACGCTGGGGTGCGGGATATCGAGGGTATTGCCTCTGGGCCTGAGAGAGGCGTAGGGAGGAGCTGAATACCCTCATCGAGTGCACTGGGTCTTTCGCTTTCTTCTCGATCACGGTCTTCAGCGATAGACGAGCGCAGGAGACGCGGCGAGCGGTCGTTGAGGGGAACGCCGAGTTCTGCGTCCCATGGATTGATTTCTGGTCCGGCGCGAGACGGGCTACGCGATTCTGAGTGACCACGAGGGCGGTGGTGGTGCTGGTGGTAGTGTCCCCCTGCATAAGGGGTGAGAGGGGCATCGAACACGTCTAGCGAGGAACTGGCAGCGTGGGTCCTCAGTGATTCGACCACTTGGCGGAATTCAAGTGCACCGACAAGGGAGAAGGAGGGCATGTGGGCGAGGTGGGGGGGTGTATGAATTGGCGAGGGTGATCGTGATTTGGGACGTGATGGTAGCTGGGTTTGGATGGCAATTCTGGGTGGATGTTGGCCGGATATCGTTGGTTTTGGAGAAGATGCGACAGGGACTGCGAGGGTATCGGCGGAGACGGTTGCTGGCGGAGGTGCTAGGTCACGAGTGAGATCGGGTGTGTACATATATCAATGGATAGCTCACGTTCGTCACTGTACGGCTCTTCGTCTGTGTAGGGTTGCGTGATGGGCTCGACGACATCCTCTCTTCGCCGTACACGTTCCATGCGTCTTTCGATCCAGCTTCCGACGACGACTACAAAAGCATAGCAGATGTACCACAGGACCAGCATAGCCGATTCCCAAGCTTGAATGAGACCGTCTCTAAGAATTACGAGCAGCATAATGACGGCGATGGTGAAGAAGCCGACGTCTCTCAGGAACGGGAGCGGATCAACCTTGAACGGACGAATGATGCACATGGACCCGACGACGCAGGAGACGATGAAGGAGGCAGCGCCGAGAAGCTCACCTATCGCCAAGCTGCCTGAGTCTGCGCGCATGGCTGAGAAGGTGGAGAAGACGTCGGGACTGGCATTGCCAAATGCGAGGAAGGTGACGCCGGCCACGTTTTCGTCGAGGCCAAGGAACTGGGCGATGGTAGCGAGGTTTGGGGTGAAGAAGTCGGAGGCGGATATGCCAAGGGTAGAGAAGAGGAAGAAAAGCCATAGCAGCAGGGCTGTGAAGACGAGCGGGCGTACGCTTGGATCTGAGCAGAAGTAGGTCTGCAGATACGGAAAAGACAGGACGGTGTCTGAGATGGGACACTCTTGCTGGACATGGTGACACTGGGCAGCATGGGCCCCGAAATCCAGCGGGTGACACTGCAGCTGGACGTTAGCCCCGACGAGGTCTGCAGTACGAGTGTGGCAGCCATGACTTGCCTGGACTTGCTGGAGTTGCCTGGAGAGCGCACTGGCCAGCTGGTATTCCATTTCCTGGGGCACCCGTGCATGTCTGCTTCGTCGAGACAGCAGAATGCACTGAGCGAACAGACAGACGAACAGAATCGCCGTTGCAGTCCTCGACGACATTGGGACAGGTCGCAAGTCAGAGCCAACGCAGCAGGTCTTTCAATAATCCACCAAATCCGAAATGACATCACTCAGGCAGTACAGTATTTACGATGCTCGTCATCGTTGCACACAGGGACGGCTGTCGGACGGACGGGCCCCCTTAGTTTCGCTGTCGGACAGCCCAACAGCGCACTAAACCAAATCGATATCATATATCGTATATCCCCGACGACGTTCCCTTGTCTTTTTCCACCACCAAGCCCACCATGAAACTCGCAGTACTCACTTCGGGCGGCGACAGCGCTGGCATGAGCGCAGTCGTGCGTGCCGTCGTCAAAGCAGGAATACTGAGGCAAGTAGTAGTGGACTTTCTCACATCACCTCTCCTCAACGGTTACTCAGTGGCTGCGAAACCTGGATCGTACGTGAGGGATACGAGGGTCTCGTCCGAGGGAACACAGATACACAGATACCCCCCACTATCGAAGAACCCTTTGCCGATCCTGCCGCTAGACAACGCGTGCGCAGTGGAAAAGCCACCAACCTCGTCGAAAACCTCCGATTCGGTGATGGTGATCTCCTTCGCGATGGTACAGGCGACCATGCTAGGGGAAGGACTCTCAAGGGCAGATATATCGTCCGTGCAGGCTGGGACGATGTCAGGGGCTGGTTTGCAGAGGTGCGTCTGACGAACATCATTCGTACTTCCCCTGCCATTGACTCCGATCACAGGGCGGCACTCTCATCGGCACGGCACGCTCAAAGACATTCCGTACCCCAGCCGGTCGACTCGCAGCAGCCTACAACCTCATCAGGGAAGGCATCGACGCACTCGTCGTATGTGGGGGCGATGGATCTCTCACTGGGGCAGACCTCTTCCGCTCAGAATGGCCCTCCTTCGTCACTACTCTCCACTCCGAGGGTAAAATCACAGACGAACAACTGTCGAAACATGGTCATCTGCGCATCGTCGGACTCGTCGGCTCGATCGACAACGACATGAGCTTGACTGATCTTACGATTGGCGCCCCAACAGCATTGCATCGGATCTGCGAAGCGATCGACAACATCAATTCCACCGCGGCATCTCACTCGAGGGCCTTCGTGCTCGAGGTCATGGGTAGACACTGTGGGTGGTTGGCCTTGTTGGCAGGCGTGAGGTCCGTCTTTCCTTGTCGTCGTGGGCACAAACAATAGGTTGACGCGTTATGTATGTAGTGCTGGTGCAGATTTCATTTTCATCCCCGAGCGACCACCCCAGACAGACTCATGGGAGGACGAGATGTGCGACGCCATTCAAATGGTATTTCCTCACTTATCCATACGATCTCTTTCACTTACCATCGTCTCTCTCAGCACCGCGAAGTGGGAAAGCGCAAGACGCTTGTGATCGTCGCCGAGGGCGCTCACGACAGCAACCTCAAACCCATCCGTGCAGACTACGTCAGGGACGTCCTTACCGAACGTCTCGGTCTCGATTCGCGTGTTACTACGCTTGGACATATCCAACGTGGTGGACGGCCATGTGCCTACGATCGCATTCTGGTGAGCAGGCCTGTGCGGTTCAAGTGCTGTTCACGGCTCATTCGGTCGTCGGTACATAGCCGACTTTGCAAGGTATAGAAGCTGTCAAGGCGGTTCTCGAGGCTACCCCAGATACCCCGTCTTACATGATTGGCGTGAGCGAGAACAAAATCACGCGAGTGCCTTTGATGGAGGCTGTGGCGATGGTATGTATGCCACTCTCTGTTTACCGGTACACTGTTCAAGGGATCCGTTGCAGACACGAGCTGTTGCAGATGCCATTGCCGCCAAGGACTTTGCAAAGGCAATGTCCTTGCGTGATCCCGAGTTCTTGCAGAGTTTGGAGGGATTCATGACCACATCTCTGCTGTACAAGGAGAAGATGCTCTCCGAAGAAAAGGTAATCCTACTCTTCGACGGACTGTTCAATTTGACTGACACCCCTTGTAGCGCATGCGAGTAGCCATCATGCAGTAAGTTGAGCCATCCTAGCATATACTCAATTTCCTCACCTCCTCTAGCATCGGTGCGCCCGCAGGAGGCATGAATGCCGCTACCCGCGCCGCAGTCCGGTACTGCATCAAACAAGGACATACCCCTCTCGCCGTTCACAACGGATTCAAGGGTCTCCTGGACGACGCCATCCACGAACTCTCCTGGCTCGGTGTTGACGGCTGGACATCACGCGGAGGCTCCGAACTCGGTACGAACCGTACCTTGCCTAGCGTCGATCTCGGTGCCGTCGCAGCCCGTTTCCAGCAACACAACTTCCACGCTCTGATGCTCATAGGTGGATTCGAGGCGTTCAACGCTTTATTGATTTTAGAGAACGGAAGGAGCCTGTATCCAGCGTTTCATATCCCGATGGTGCATCTCCCCGCGACGATTTCGAACAATGTCCCCATGACCGAGTTCAGTCTTGGAAGTGACACGAGTTTGAATGCGCTCGTGGATGCGTGTGATGCGATCAAGCAGAGCGCTAGTGCGAGTAGGAATAGGGTGTTTGTTGTTGAAACCCAGGGTGGACAGTGCGGGTATATTGCGACGATGGGTGCGTTGGCGGTACGTACTCCTTTGCGTGCTGTAATTTATGATGCTGACGGACACTTTCTTTTTGAAAGACGGGAGCGTCAGCTCGTGTATACACCTGAGCAGGGGATGGATCTCGATATGCTACGTGCGGATGTCAAGTTCCTCAAGATACGATATGGACTAGGACGCCAAGGGCAAGAGCGAGGGACGTCTAGTCATTCGGTGTGTCTCGTTCCTTCCTTCCTTCACTCCCTCTCATCCCCTGACACATACATCGACAGCATTTCTCCCCACCAAGAAACGAACTGCGCCTCCTGAAGTATACACCACCTCTATGCTCACAGGACATGTTCCGTGTAGAAGGCGGCGGCCTCTTCGACTCGCGTTTCGCCTCGCTCGGACACATCCTCCAAGGCGGAGTACCCACCCCAATGGACCGCGCCCGCGCCGCCCGTCTCTCCTTACGATGCATGGCATTCCTCGAGGAATATCATCAATCTCTTCTCGCTCAACCACTTAAATCGCGATGTGCTCCCCCTGAGAGTGCAGCTGTGATCACGATTCAGAGATCAGCACTGAAGTGGGTACCTGTGACGGAAATGGTGAAGCATGCCGATATGAAGAATAGGAGGGGGAAGGAGGTGTGGTGGGAGTCTGTCAAGGTTTGGGTGGAGGCGTTGTCTGGAAGATCGGAGTTAGGTGTAAGGAGTCACTTGATGTGTGGGGGAAGATATAAGGAATAGAATTTGGAAGTACAGTGTGTAGAATGTCTTGGATTATATAGATCACCTATCTCTACTCTATAAGCTGGCAGGCCAAGTGTATGTCGTCTCGGGAAGTAACCCTTCTGACTACTTGTCTCTGCGGCCGAAACCACCTTAACTTAGCCCATTAGTTAGGGCCTTCGAACTCATCGGCAGAAATCTTGTTTATAAAAGAACTGGTCGACATGTACATTTGATGATGTTTGTTGCCAAGTATGACGGTGGATCCGAATACAAGGGGCTTGCTGGCAGCTATGTCCATACTTATCAGCGCAGCGTGTATGGGTATCACGTATACCTCTGGATGGCCGGGAACCGAGAGCTCACACACCAAAGAAACTTGCAGGTACCGTTCATCAAGTCCAGCCCTATACATGGATATAGCTTTACATAGCTTTACAACGTTTATATAAAGCAGTGACAAAGGTGAACCAAAGCAAGGCCAATGGAAAATCAAGGAATGAGTTCATCTTTAGTAGGTACTTCGCATGTAGACAGCTCACATAAATTTCGTGCGCTACATTTTTTATATTGTATGGAGTGGACTCAAACATGTACACGGTACGCGAGAAAAAACGCGCAGTATGTTCTATATTGTGTGAATGGTCTCCGAAAATATGCATGATAGACGAAAAAAAACGCGCAGGGTAAGAGAGGATGTGCACAGTACCTACGAAAAATATGCGGGGGGCATCGGATAAACGTGCATCAATTTGTTAGTACAGATGCAGCGTCATATCACACACTTCGTCCTGAAAGGTCTGCCAAAAGATGTCATCTCAACAGATCTTCCAATATGAGGGTCGAGCTTCACGAATGGCGCTTCGGAAATTACGTAGAAAAATCCAAAAGGTTGTCCGAAGACTGATGGAAAAACTAGATTGTCGACGACAGACAGACATGGCGAGCTGCAACGACACGAAGGCGGAGACAGGAGAAATCAAAAAAGAAACATTTTGCCAAGGATCTTCGTGAGACTTCCTCTCTGTCGGCTCCCACGCGGCAGGGTGATGCTTAGCGAGTTACTGGTGTCTAACTCGATTAATGACTCCTTCAATGTACCGAGGTCAGCTGTGAACGGCTATGAGTGTTTGAGTCTGCTCGAGGATGGACTCTGGTCACTATGGCTTGCAGGCCAGTAAAAGTGTAAGTCTGATGACTTCTGCGTACGCTCCTCAGGTGGGTTTCACATTATGTTGGTTATTAGGCGCGACTCCATGAATGTATTGTAGACTGCAGTACCTGGTACCTGTAACCTTTTTCGCATCCAACCCAGTGTACTTCCACGGTCGTCAGCAACACCGCCGTGGTTGGGATCCATGCGTCAAGTTTCGTACGTGCACGGTGAACGTGTTATTACTGTACGACTCACTACTGTTGCTGCGACAAATTTCAACTCGTTCCTCACTCCCGTCTGGGTGGCAGTGAAGATTTTTGGTATGTTATATGCAGAACTTCATTTAATAGGGTTGCTCAGAGTTGGCGCCTACGCCGCCACCACCGCCTACGCCTACAGCTAATTTGTGGGTAGTCTTGCTGTAGGCGTAGGCGGCGGCGGCGGCGGCGGCATAGGCACCAACTTTGAGCCACCCTAATGTGGGAAGCACAGATTAATCATTCCAGTGTTATTCCACCAGCGGTTATTCCCTTCTATCCCATCTCCCACCGTCGCAGAAGAGTCGACAGCCAAACGAGATCTGTTATAAGAACATGGCCGATCAGTTTGTGAGTTGTCTTCCTCCTTGTTATGTAGGTTTCACTCTTGTTCATCGTTATGGACGCTTGTGACTTTGCTCAGTCCGAAGGTGGGATGTCCGCTTGTTTTTTGGGTCGTAGTTGCTAACAGCTAACATACAGAGCTAATCTCCAGTAAGTATACCCGTTGTTGTTGTTTACCCGTCGGACGTAATGAATGCGGCGATGTACAGAGTTCGAGGAAGCCTTCTCTACCTCCGATCAAGGTACTTTTTCTGCATTAGACGCGCATTTCCTTTGTGGTCGTGGGATTAGGAGTTCTAATATAATGTTTTGGCAGACGGCGATGGGAAGATTACTGCGAAAAAGCTTGGAACTGTCATGCGCTTGTTAGCACGGAGTCTTACCGATGCTGAACTTGAGGACATGGTCAATGAAGCTAATGAAGACGACGAGGCGGTGGCTGATTTCCCAGAATTCGACGCCTGGATGACGCGGAAGGTGCATTGTACGGATAGCCAAGAAAAGAGCAGAAATGCATTCAAGGGCTTGGATAAGGACGAGAACGGTCTTATCAGCATGGCTGAGTTGCGGCGCATCATGACATACCTCGGTACGCAATCCTTACCGTTTTCTAAAAGTGAACCAAGACGTTTGATGTTGAAATTGTAGGCGAGGAGTTGACCGATGGAGAGGCCACTGAGATGGTCCGTGAAACCGACGTTGCTGGAGAGGCTCAGATCAGTTACGACGGTGAGTCTTCCAATTGAGGAGCTGTTCAGCCTTCTGATCGTCGACTGGGCGGGGTTGCAGAGTTCGTCAAGGTGGGTTGTCACCTTTACCGGTTTCGTTTATTAGCGGGTTCCGGGATTCAGTTATTGACAACATTGTATCTAGACGATGTCTTCGAAGTAATCAACCTTCTTATACCCTTCACCAGCAAGAATGTCTTCTTTTCGCAGTATGTTTTTCTCTACGCTTTAGAAAGTATGTCCTAGGAAGAGACCCATATAAGCCGCAATGACTACATCCCAGGCTGTCCTTGTAATCGTTTTCGTTGACTCGATCTTGGAAACCACTGGCCTGAAATATGCAGTATTCGTAGTGCTAGGTGCTCTGAGCCATCGTGCATCAACTGTGATCACCACTAAATTTTGCACCTTGTGCTTCCCAGTATGTAGGTTACATACCTCGCAAGGTCCCCTTGCCCTGGCCAGGGCTCTATCGACCTGGGAGGCACCGCCTGCATGGTAGCAGACACCTTGCTTGTTGATGGGGATATGTGATGTTGCTTTTCCTCCCCCTTTTGTCAGGTAACCCGCACCAGGAATGTATATGCGACATGCAATACATTGTGTTTACAGGAGCATGAGGCCCGGCGCATACAGTGGGCCAGACGTAGGGCGGTTGGGCTGCTACACCGCTCCCAACAGCCCTGTCCGCGATCTGCCGAATCGATGACCACGATTCGACACATGTGCTCCAGTCTGCCTACATCTCGTGCTCCTCGGGGGGTTGGCTTGACGTACCTGCGGGAACTCCGGGTTGCTTTCTGAGGCACATGAACCCGAGTGGGTATCTGAGTCTCATATGACTGTCACCGGGAACGGGACTGGGGAAGATGGGCGGGCGATGGGTGCAGTACGACAGGCCTGCGCAACTGAGAGAAGATGAAGGTACCACGTTGGAACGGTGGAAGCAATTGTGCTGACCTGGTGAAGGAAAGTTGACATCCGTGAGACGCAATAACTAGTGCGAGTACATTGTTGGAAATATCCTATTAGTTCCGACATCTAGAATTGCACGTGTATCAACATGTTGTTCGTCACATGACTTTTCTCAGTCATCAGCTCCACAATGATGTCATGGTGACATCATATTATATGTCATATTCCATGACCTTCCATGCTATTCTTTACTATACTGAGTAGTAGTTTCCTTTTACGCTACTGGTCCATGCATACCTACTCATGTATATAAACTCGGGACTTTCGTCCTAGGTCCCTATCAAATTCTACATTTGTTCTTCACTTGTCTATCCGACAACTGAACCCCTCAACTTATCGTTACTTTCTCAAATGCTACAACCGTTCTAATACAAGGCAAGTGTTTGTGCCTTATTGCTCTTCATTTCTCCTGTTCCTCTGCACAATAGGTTGTGAGCCCCTGCCTTCTAGGTGAGTGAGCTATTTATGCATCTGCATCGAGCAATCACTGCCGACAGGCAAATCACAATGGATGTTGTAGGCCTAGATGTGCTAGGAATGGTTGTAGTTGTCTTCACTGTGTCGCTAGTAGCCAGTCTTAATCAGGCTGTTCTTTTACTCCATTATGGAGGACATGACCCTTTGTTTCTGTGGGAGCTTTTTATTCACTCTACCGCATTTTGGTTGTCTTTTCTAGGTCTCTCCGCATTGTGGCGAAGGCGGCAGATGCTGCTACAAGAACAAGTTCTTCACAGGATGCTTTTACAGTGTCTTGTTCTTCGTCCACCGACTCCGCCCCCTCATTGCCTTCATTTTCATCTTCCCAACATCGATCATGACACTGATTTAGATCCTATACCACCATATCATGCGGTTGAGGCACTTGACACACCTCCTGCAAGGCGAGCACCTACTCCTCTTCCGGAGGAAGTGCAAGCTTTGAACAAATTGTTCAACCCAGAGCTCGTTCTCGCTATCAGTCCCTGACGATAATGCTGAGTTCAATCTACTTTAAATTCAGTTCATGGTTATTTAAATATATTATGGGAACTAATCTACAGCTTTCGCAAGATGTCTTTGATTGTCGCGAAGAAAACTGAACTCCACATCGCTGAACAGCAAGATGGGATGTACGAAGTGAAGTGGCGGAAGTATGTGGTAAAAGAGATTATAGAGTATATTGAGATGTTATATGTACGCGGATGTTCCACTTGGAGAGAGGTGGTTCCTTTGTCAGTGGCTTTCTTCAAGAAGCCAAATCCTGCAACATACCTCATTCCCATTGACACGGTGGAAACAGTGTGGCAGCAAATGCCCCACTTTCCCGGCTTCAAATCTCCGTTCTTCTATCCTGGCCTCCATATAGCGTTTCATGGATATCTAACTGACTTCTTCCCTAAGCTTTCTCACACGTTGACTCTGCACGCCATCGCTAATTTTAACAGTTGCAATCTTCCATCTGCTTACTATGAAGATCCTTCCCTTGACACTGTTCTGGCCTTCTCGGTCACCCATGATACATTTGTCTACATCTACTATAACATCCACCCTCTCTATGACCCATGCTTCAATGGGGTCGTCCCTACTCTCCGCGCTTGGAACCAGCATCTTGAGTTCCATTTCCAAGGAGTTTGGGTTGATGGGTCCACAGACATTTGGTGTGTCCCAAGATGGTTCTGAGAACAGCAACACAGAGGAGACTGCTTTGATAGCGGTCTCTTTAGGACTATTCGACAGTATAGGGACGAAGCAGATGTGGGAAGTAGCATGCGATATAACACTGCTAACAGGCATCTTTCATGGGGTACAGACCCCATTAACGCTAACTTCACTTACTGGCCTGGAACAGCAGAGATTCTTAGCGATCTCGAATGTGTCATGGAGAAGAGTACTTTCAACTATCTTGCAGAACCCTGACCTCGCAGAATATGCACTACCGCTCTTAGCTGAGCTTGTGAAGCTCGAGCCATATGTCAGAAATTATCCTCTTCCAAGTATGCTGGATGTACCATATGTATCAGGCAGGTGAAACCATTGGGGGACTAATACTTGTATCATTGATGAGTCTTACAATTGTCTTGAAATACTTTGTAAAGATCTTCACTTTCGTCATTCTCCTGCTATCAATGTACCATATAGTTGCACTGATCCATATCTTGGATTTTGTTTGGATGGAATACCATTGCATGATTGCAACTGGAGCTTTTTAAGCTACCATTACTTCCCTCTGCTAGACTTTGAAAGTCTAGAGCACAATAACTCTCGCATCCCTGCAAGGCGATTCACTGAGAGAGGTACATTGGTGTTAAAGCAATGGAGAAATCCTCATCCCCATATACCAAAGGTTTGCAAGCACTGTCCATCTCAATCTGCTAGAGCATCTGCTCACAGACCTAAAGGCACCAAACCACATTTGTTGAATCCTCCATCCATTAAAACTCATCCAACTCATTCGTTTTTATATGAACATCTGCTTATGGACTTTTGACACTAGATGTCCGAAGGTCTTTCCAAGCAGATCCCAAAGCTTAATGGCTTAAACTATGCCTCTTGGTCAGTTCTTATGAAGGCTTACATGCAAACTCTTGGCATCATGGGCATCGTCAGTGGCACTGTTGCCAGACCTGGTGCAGGTGTGGCAGCAGCTGATATCGCCGCCTGGGACACTTCCGATGCATGTGCACAAGGAATCTTAACTTTGTATTGTGATCCAATGATCACAATGTCAATCGATGGGCTGGCAACGTCCAATGAAAAATGGGTTGCCTTAAATAACTCATATGGTGCTCCATCTGCTATGACGACTTTTATGGAGTTTCAACACCTCATATGAATTCAAATTAAACCAAAGGATGATATTATGGTCAAAATTTCGGAGATTACCATGCTCCTTATGGCCATTTCTGCTCAGGGTATTACCCTGAACGACAAAATGAAAGCACTCATCCTGGTTCATGCTATGTCCCAAGCCTGGGAACAAGCACCCATCAATATCCTATCATTGATTCCTGCTGCACAGCTTACTCCTGATGCCATCATACCATGCATGAAAGAAGTCTGGGCCCACAAATCAGGCAAATCTATGCTTCCACAAATGGAAAAGGCTGGGTCTTCTTTGACTCATATCAAACAAGAATCAAATTCTTTACTGGCATGCATGAATAAACCACCCCTTTGTCAAATTTGCAGAGGTGGTCATAATACTTCCGATCATCAATCTGGATCAGGTTCTGGATCCTTTTGTGGTTACTGTGGAGGTTGTGGAAGAGGTCATGGAGGTCGTGGATGTGGATGTGGAGGTTATACTCCCTATCATCAGCAACAGCAGCAGCAAGGTTCTGGTTCTCGTGGCCAAGGCCAAAACTGTTGCTGAGGCAAGGGCAAAGCCCGAGCCAGTAATCTTGAAATAGAAGGTGCAGAAGCAGTCAATTCTGCTTATATTGAGGAAATCCCTGAGGATTCCTACAATCCAAACACTTGCTCTTATGCTGGAGAGTTTGGTGATCACTATGATCAACCCACCTTCGAGAACTATCAAAATGCTGCTGATGAATTTGAACTTGATGCTATCAATGTTCCACACAACAATTCTCCTGAATATTCTCTCCTGGAGGTAACTCCGGTTGAACGAGTTTATTCTAATGACCTCAATACATACCTTTGGATCTCATGTCATTACTGAGGCTGAGATATATGATCCAGATCTTTTCCACCAAGATTTAGTCATGGTGATGGAAACAGTTGGCAGTAATGCCAATTATCCAGTTGATGTTACTACTGGAAATCTTGCTCCTTGGTATCTGGAGGAAATTTCTAATTTCCAACTGGATCAAGTTGAGTCAGTCAAGATTCATGTTTGACTTCCTAACTCTAATACACCATGTCTATGTTCTATTTGTCACCAAGCAGCCCTCTCTTGCAAGCTGCTGGACTCGTCCCTTCAGGAACGGTCTCAATGGAAGAACTCAGACTCTTATCTGAGGACAATTTCCCTTCCCCCTGCTAAGCAGGATGGGACACGTCAGAGTGGTTCCTGCGAACCCTCAGTACAAATGGGAACTTCCATTTTGGTTGGCGAGAACATGGTGGAGAATAGGAATGTTGAGGATAATGGCAGTTCGGCTTTGCCGAAATGGATTATTGATCAGTCTGCCTCTTGATTTCGAGGACATGATTGTGACAACGGAGGATCTCTCTGAAAATCTGTACTTATAAAGAATCAGAAAAAGAAAAACCACTGGACAATGTCCTTATCACAATTTCACGAATCTGTGCTAGATGTGCCTGTATGTAAACCTTTCTGTGTAAAGCATAATCCAGACATCGAGTATGATCCAAATGAATCTGCATCAGGATATCTCCCTTCTGCATTCGATGGACATGCATTCAATTCTTATGACTGCTACCCCTTGGGTGTGCCTTTGTCATATGCAAATCTTAAAAAGAACCTACCAAAGGGTGAGTCTTTATGGATGTTGGATTCTGGAGCATCACATCATGTGACTCCATTTAAAACTGATTTCTTGACTTATCGAGAGTTTAAAAAACCACCTTTGGCCTCTACAGCAGGCACTAAAAAGGTTCAACTTCTTGGTCAAGGAATTGTGGTTATTCACCTGGAAAATGGCAGTAACCTTGTTTTACACAATGTGGTCTACAGTCCTTTGTTCTCAAAGAGACTTTGTTCTCGTAATGTGCTCCTCAATAACGGGTATAGGAGCACTGTGACACTTACAGGTGAGACAATCAGAGCACCAGATGGCTGGATTGTCCTTGAAGTGAAAATAGCTTCTCCAACTTCACCTCTTCACTGGTTTGTGGGCGTACCACTTCCACCTACCACTGCCTATGGGGTCCTTTGCCCTTTGGTCAAGGAATCTCAAGAGTCTCTATGGCATAATCGCATGTGTCATCCTGCTCAAGCAGTTCTCAGACACATTCGCAGATTAGGCCTTAAACACAATATACAAATACAAGGGGAGCCTCCTTCTTGCAAAGGTTGCGCACAGGGCAAATTGTCTTCTGAAGCTTTTAAACCATCATGGAAATGGGTTACCAAGCCTCTCACATTGGTCCATGCCGACCTTCTCAAGTTACCTGTCGAGTCCTATTTTCAGTCCAAATACATCTTAACCCTCTTGGATGATTTTTCATCTTACGGTTTCTGTCTCTACCTCCAGAATAAATTCGATACTTATACTGCTTTTGCTGATTGGATGGTGTCTGTTCAACGTACTACTGGACATCATTTACTTGCACTCCGTTCAGATCGAGGGGGAGAATTTATGGGTTCTACCTTCAAAGTGCTCCTTTCTTCGCACGGTATTACTCATCAATTGTCTATTGCTGACCAGCCACAGCAGAATGGTTGTGCAGAGTGATTTAATCAGACCATACAAGAAAAAGCAGGAACTATTCAACATCATGCTTGTGTTCCGAAACACTTCTGGAACTTTGCTTTTGATTGTGCACTTCATGTGTACAACAGAACTCCTCTGAAAAGGATTCTCTTCAAGACTCCGGTTGAACTCTTCTTAGGAAAAGTCCTGGATATCAAGTATTTTCGCACCTTTGGCTGCAAAGCTTTTGTATGGGTTCCTAAAGAACAAAGAAAAGATAAATTGGAACCTCATGCAGTTGAAATGAATTTTCTAGGCTACGAGCCTAATACAAAAGGATACCATTTCCTAAATGGACAAAAAATCATACTCTCTCGAACTGCAAAATTCGTAGAAGACTCTTTTCCTTTCTGCTCTGGTCATAAACAAAAATCCGATACCTTTGACCCCGATACTGAAGACAACCAAGAATCATCTAATTCCAACTCTGAAAGCCTTCATTCATTACTGGATCCTGATCAGATCCAACCGCTGCTTCATCACCGGCAACCACCTCGTCTTAATACTCCTCCACCACAACAAAACCCACAGCAGAGAGCTGCAGACCAGCATAGAGCTCCTCAACAACAGAGAAGAGCACCTGCTGCTGTACCACCAGTTGACCCTTGTCATCTAAGGCATCCTTATCAACCAGAATTTATTCAAGGAGACTTGCATAATGTTTGCAGAGCTCATCCTCCAGCCGATGACAGAGAACCTCATCCTAAACATCGATTTATACCTGTATCTCATCCTGAAAATATGTATGGAGATAGACCTCCAGTGGAAATTGAATGAGATATTCAACAAAATCGGGATCAAGCACAACAGTGGATTCGCAATGCTGAGCAGCATGCTCACAATTCTAGAGAAGATATTCAGAGATATGCAGAAGAGCGCAGACCTCCTTCTCCGAGGTTACCTCCTGCACTCATACCTCCTGAAGTTCCTCATCAGTGGACTGAACATCCACAAGGAACTACTCCTATCTCTCCTGGTTCACCACTTACTCCTGTTCTGGATATTCCTGATTCTCTGAAGGGAATGCCTGATCAACAAGCAGAAATGCATCCTTTCGAGTTTGCATTAGCTGCATGGGTAAAAGAATCTCTGGAACATTATAAAGATGTGCTAAAACTATCTCCCAACTTACAAAAGAAATGGTTTGACACAATGAAGGATGAATTAAAGTCTATTGAAGAAAGACAAGTATGGACCTTGGTGGATCCTCCTAGAGATCGGAAACCTGTGAAGTGTCGATGGGTTTTCGCTATCAAAAGCAATGGTCATTATAAAGCTCGTCTTGTGGAAAAAGGCTTCACACAAGAATTCAGCACCGACTTTGAAGATACCTTCTCTCCAGTGGCAAGATTTGAAACTGTGCGAATATTACTCGCATTTGCTGCCCAAAGAAATTGGGATACAGAAGCCCTGGATGTTAAAACTGCCTTCTTATATGGCAATCTGGATGAAGAAATTTATATGGAGCAACCAGAAGGTTTCAAAGTTTTGGGTCAAGAACACAAGGTTTATCAGTTGCTTCGAGCCCTCTATGGCTTAAAGCAAGCTGTGTTGGCATGGAATAAAGCCCTTCATCAATCTCTACTACAAATGGGCTATGTTCGATCAAAAGTGGATGCTGGAATTGTCATTTTCCTCATCTATGTCGACGATGGACTCTTTCTAGGATTGGACAAATGTCTTCTTAAAGCCAAGAAAGAACAATTCATGAAGAAATGGGAATCCCGCGATCTTGGTGAAGTCAAGGAGTATCTTGGCATTCAAATTCACTGGGATAGGTCAAAGAAGGAAATCTATCTTGACCAAATACCTTGTGTTAAAAAGGTTATTAAAAGGTTCAACATGGAGACTGCTCGAAATGTTCGCACTCCATTACCTTTGGGATATCAACCAGAAAAAGCACCCTCAGATTATCAAGCCACATCTTCTCTTTGGTCACAGTACCAGTCAATCATAGGGTCATTACTCTATATGGCTCTTGGTACTCGTCCAGATATTGCCTTCACGGTTATTCGCATGTCTCAATATATGGCAAATCCTACCGAAGATCACCAAAACAAAGCTTTGCATATAGTTTGCTATATTGCATCAACTCCAAAGTTGGCTTTGTATTATTCAGGACTCAAACCTCAAATCTATGGCTTTGCAGACTCTGACTGGGCTGCTAATAAAGATACTCGTCATTCAACTACTGGCTATGCCATGTATCTTGGCAATTCCCTCATTTCTTGGCGCTCGCGTAAACAGAAGACAATTGCACTCTCCTCTACTGAAGCTGAGTATATGGCCTTATGCAATGCTGCACAACAAATCAAATGGCTGTCAATGCTGTTTGAAGAACTCAAACTAAAGACCGAAAAGACTATTCTTTACTGCAATAATATGGGCGCTTGCTTTATAGCTGAGAATCCTGTATTGGATGGTCGTTCAAAGCATATTGACGTCCAATGGCACTTTGTTTGCGAATGTGTTCAAGATAGTTTGTTCAGTATTGAATACGTTCAAACTGACAAACAAAAAGCAGACGGTCTTACAAAATCTTTGACGTGGCAGAAGTTTGAAACTAATCGCTTGTCAATGGGATTGGTTACCTTACCATTTTAGAGTGAGGGGGAGTGTTGGAAATATCCTATTAGTTCTGACATCTAGAATTGCACGTGTATCAACACGTTGTTCGTCACATGACTTTTCTCAGTCATCAGCTCCACAATGATGTCATGGTGACATCATATTATACATCATATTCCATGACCTTCCATGCTATTCTTTACTATACTGAGTAGTAGTTTCCTTTTATGCTACTGGTCCATGCATACCTACTCATGTATATAAACTTGGGACTTTCAGTCCTAGGTCCCTATCGAATTCTACATTCATTCTTCACTTGTCTATCCGACAACTGAACCCCTCAACTTATCGTTACTTTCTCAAACGCTACAACCGTTCTAATACAAGGCAAGTGTTCATGCCTTATTGCTCTTCATTTCTCCCGTTCCTCTGCGCAATATACATGAATAAGGCGAAGCGTCAGTTTCCTCCTCCTCTTCCACGTCTGACGGCTGGATGCAGGAGAATGCGAGGGTAACGGGTGATATCAAGGGGTTTCGAGGAAATTGGATGGCATTGGCTGCTTGGATACGCGTGTTTCTGCGGATACCGAGGGTAATGACACAGGTTTTCATATATTTCGTTAGGTGCAACCTGCACGGCATCGATAGGAAGTACTTCTGGTTCAGCTCTACTTGCCAGCTCACGAACGGTCTCGCCGATGACACACTGGCTACATTCTATTGGTCGATATAGGGCAAGAGTAGGTTCAACTGGCGGACTGGCGGGCGTCGGATGTGACGACGGCCGGACGTGCGGCTGCAACGGAACGAAGGCGAAGATAGGAGAAACCAAATGACGAAACATTTTACCAGGAATCTTCGTGGGACATCCTGTCCTCGCTTGATGTGTTCAATGCCGAGGGTACCAGGTCAGCTGCGAACGGCTATGAGTGTTCGAGTCTGCTCGAGTACTGACTTGAGGTTGTGCCCTGCTCAATCACGATTCCATGAATGTATTGTAGATTGCAGTACCTGGTACCTGTAACCTTCCTCGCATCCAACCCAGTGCACCTCCACGGTTGTCAGCAACACCACCGCAGTTGGAATCCATGCATCAAGCTCAAGTTTCGTATGTGCGCGGTGAACGTGTTATTACTGCACGACTCAATACTGTTGCTGCGACAAATCTCAACTCGTCCCTCACTTGTGTCTGGGTGGTAGTCAATATCGGTTCACTCGCCTTTGAAGCGGTGACAAAAGTATCATTTGTAACTTGTTCCTCCCCGTTGCGCTCCTCTTTCTCTCTCGAGGTTGGGTTGTGATGCATGTATGGAGCGACCATCAGTATCTTCATCGACTTCAACAAAGGGAAACGGCATCGTATCGTATCGGCTTGGGGCAGGTACCTCTCTTCTCTCTGTGATTCCGTTCGACCATGACCTCATGCAAGGTAAGCTATTAGTTGCCATCGGCAGCCGTTGCACTCGCCGATGATAGACTAGTTCGTGCAGGGTGTGGCCGCTTTCCTCTTATGCGAAAATTAGGAACATGCAGTGTCGTGGAGTACTGCCGCTGCGTCACGGGGGCAACTAACTAAGAATTCCCGCTGTTTGGAATGACTCAGACTGTGGAGCATCATTAACAGACATGCAGAAATGTGGACCCATGCTGTTCGTGCGCCGTAGTCTCTGTCTCCCACAGACGTTCATCGGCCATTGGTGCATATAGCCGCTAAAGTAGCAAGGCTGAATAGTTTCCTCTCGGCTTTACAACCAACTGTGGGTTCTCTTGCGCTGTTTATTTAGCCTCGCTGATTCGGGTAGCATTCTGCACACTCAAGGTTCCTTAATAACCCCGTTTCTTTGTCGTTCCCAACGCATAACGTATGGTCCCTACCATTCCTGTTTTATTGCAGCTGATTACCGAACTTGGCCTTCAGGCTCAATCATTTCCACCGTACATATCCTCCTAGTATAATTGTGTTCAATGGCTTCGACAGATGATGTTTCCCGCAGCCGAGCAAAGCTGGAACGCTGTCCTCCAGGTCATAATGGTCGGGATGTTGCCCTCAGCGAATTGGCGGAGGTTCTCCGCGATAGATTCCGGAGAGAGCATAACATCGACGACTTGAACGGGGCGATCACTTTGTGCCGCGACGCCTTGAAACTCCGACCAACTGGGAATCACAAACGGCCCATCTCTCTCATCCATCTGGCAGCCTGCCTTTCGAAAAGATATGAGAACCAGGGGGCATCTGCTGACTTGGAAGAAGCCGTGACGCTTGGGCGTGCGGCGCTAGAGCTCCGTCCACCAGGGCATCCCTATCGTGCCTTTTCTCTCTACAATCTCGCCTGTGACCTCAAGAAGAGGTTCCAGAAACTAAATGACATGCGCGACTTGGATGAGGCGATCGAGCTGCATAGGGTAGCTTTGGAACTACGTCCCTCTGGACATCTTCATCGATCTTCATCGCTCCATGAACTTGCTATCTGTCTCTCGAATAGACATGACAAGCAGGGAGTAGTTGCCGACTTGGAAGAAGCGATCACACTTGGACGTGCAGCACTAGAGCTCCGTCCACCAGGACATCCCCATCGTGGCATACTTCTCCACAATCTCGCTTGCGATCTTAGGACGAGGTTCCAGAAACAAGCTAACGCACGCGACCTGGAGGAAGCGATCGAACTGCATCGTGCAGCTTTGGAACTACGTATTGCGCAGAGGAACGGGAGAAACGAAGAGCAATGGCAAGAACACTTGCCTTTTATCAGAACGGTAGTAGACTTTGAAGTAAAGCTTGTGATGCTTGAGGGGCTCAGTTGTTGAGTAGACAAGTGAAGAACGAATACTTGATTCGATAGGGATTGAGGAAGAAATCCTCGAGTTTATATACATGAGTAGGTACGCACGGACCATGAGCGTAAAAGGAAACTACTACTCAGTATAGTAAGGAATAGTGCAGAAGGTCATGGAATATGATGTATAATATGATGTCATTCTGACATCATTGTGGAGCTGATTGCTAAGGAATGTCATGTGATGAACAGCGTGTTCATACACGTGTAAGTCTGGATCAATCTAGATGTCGGAACATATAGTCATATTTCCAACACTCCCCCTCGCTCTAAAATGGTAAGGTCACAAGACCCATTGATGAGCGATTAGTTTCAAATTTTTGCCACGTCAAAGATTTGGTAAGACCGTCTGCTTTTTGTTTATCAGTTTGAACGTATTCAATACTGAATAAACCATCTTGAACACATTCGTGAACGAAGTGCCATTGGACATCGATATGCTTGGAACGACCGTCCGATACAGGATTCTCTGCAATAAAGCGAGCTCCCATATTATCGCAGTATAATATAGTCTTTTCGGTCTTGAGTTGAAGTTCATCAAACAGCATTGAGAGCCATTTGATTTGACGTGCAGCATCACAGAGAGCCATGTATTCAGCTTCTGTGGAAGAGAGTGCGATTGTCTTCTGTTTACGAGAGCGCCAAGAAATGAGGGATGATCCGAGGAACATAGCATAACCGGTGGTTGAATGATGAGTGTCTTTATTTGCAGCCCAATCAGAATCTGCAAAGCCATAGATTCGAGATTCAAGTCCCGAATAGTATAAAGCCAACTTTGGAGTAGATGCAATATAGCGAACTATATGCAAGGCTTTATTTCGGTGATCTTCGGTCGGATTTGCCATATATTGTGACATGCGAATAACCGCAAAGGCAATATCGGGACGAGTACCGAGTGCCATATAAAGCAATGATCCTATGATGGATTGGTACTGAGACCGAAGAGAAGATGTGGCTTGATAATCTGATGGTGCCTTTTCCGGTTGATATCCCGAAGGTAATGGAGTGCGAACATTTCGAGCAGTCTCCATGTTGAACCTTTTGATAACCTTTTTGACATAAGGTATTTGATCGAGATAAAGTTCCTTTTTGGATTGATCACAGGTGAATTTGAATGCCAAGATATTCCTTGACTTCACCAAGATCACGAGATTCCCATTTCTTCATGAATTGTTCTTTCTTGGCTTTAAGAAGACGTTTGTCCGATCCTAGAAAGAGTCCATCGTCGACATAGACGAGAAAGATGACGATTCCAGCTTTGGATATGTGGATATAAATTCCAGCATCCACTTTTGAACGAATATAGCCCATAGCAAGTAGAGACTGATGAAGGGCTTTATTCCATGCCAATGCAGCTTGCTTTAAGCCATAAAGGGCTCTAAGCAACCGATAAACCTTGTGTTCTTGACCCGAAACTTTGAAACCTTCTGGTTGCTCCATATAATTTCTTCATCAAGATTGCCGTATAGAAAAGGCAGTTTTAACATCCAGGGCTTCTGTGTCCCAATTTCTTTGGGCAGCGAACGCAAGTAGTAATGCGAACAGTTTCGAAGCGAGCCACTGGAGAGAAGGTATCTTCAAAGTCGGTACCAAATTCTTGTGTAAAGCCTTTTGCCACAAGACGAGCTTTATAACGACCATCGCTTTTAATAGCGAAAACCCATCGACACTTGACTGGTTTCCGATCTCTTGGAGGATCCACCAAAGTCCAAACTTGTCTTTCTTCAATAGATTTTAACTCGTCTTTCATAGCGTCAAACCATTTCTTTTGCAAATCAGGAGATAACTTTAGCACATCTTTAAAATGCTCCGGAGATTCTTTTATCCTGGCAGCCAATGCAAACTCGAAAGGATGCATTTCAGGACCTGGCATTTTGCATGCTGGTCTGGCATGCCTTTAGGCGAAGAAGGAGTATCCAGAAGTGGAGTAAGAGGAGAACCAGGAGAAGTAGGAGTTGTTCCTTGTGGATGTTCAGTCCACTGACGAGGAACTTCAGGAGGAACAAGTGCAGGAGGTAACCTCGGAGAAGGAGGTCTCCTTTCTTCTTGTTGTGAACGAATAAACTCTCTGGTTTGTCGAGCATGTTGCTCAGCATTACGAATCCACTGTTGTGCTTGATCCCGATTTCTTTGAATATCTCTTTCAATGTCACTGGGGGTCTGTCTCCATAGAGATTCCCAGGACGAGAGACTGGTATAAAATCGACGTTTTGGACGAGGTTCTCTGTCATCTTGTAGGAGGATTGAGCTCTGCGAACATTACGCGAGTCTCCTTGAATAAATTCAGGTTGATGAGGATGCGCAAGATGACGAGGGTCGACTGGTGGTACAGCAGCAGGTGCTCTTCTTTGTTGTTGACCTCTATTATGATGGTCCGGAGGTCTCTGCTGTGGGTTTGGTTGTGGAGGAGTATTAGGACGAGGTGGTTGCCGGTGATGAGTCGGCAGTGTTGGATCTGATCAGGATCCGGAAATGAATGTAGGCTTTCAGAGTCGGAAGTATCTGAATCATGGTCGTCTTCAGTATCGGGGTCAAAGGTTTCGGATTTTTGTTGACCAGAGCAAAAAGGAAAGGAGTCTTCTACGAATTTTGCAGTACGAGAAAGAATAATCTTCTGTCCATGAAGGAACCGATATCCTTTGGTATTTGGTTCATAGCCCATGAATACCATTTCGACTGCATGAGGTTCCAATTTATCTTTTCTTTGTTCTTTGGGAACCCATACAAAAGGCTTTGCAGCCAAAGGTGCGGAAATAATGTGATATCCGGGACTTTTCCTAAGAAGAGTTCTAACCGGAGTCTTGAATATAATCCTCTTGAGAGGAGTTCGATTATACACATGAAGTGCACAGTCGAAAGCAAAGTTCCAGAAGCGTTTTGGAATACAAGCATGATGTCGAATGGTCCCTGCTTTTCGGAAATAGTCCGATTAAAGCGTTCTGCTCGACCATTTTGCTGTGGCTGGTCAGCAATGGATAGATAATGGGTAATTCTGCGCGAAGAAAGGAGCGCTTTGAAAGTATGACCCATAAATTCTCCCCCTTGATCCGAACGGAGCGCAAGTAAATGATGTCCAGTAGTATTTTGCATAGACACCATCCAATTGGCGAAAGCAGTATAAGTGTCGGATTTGTTACGAAGGTAGAGACAGAAACCGTAAGATGAATAATCATCCAAGAGGGTTAAGATATATTTGGACCGAAAGTAAGATTCGACAGGTAATTCCATTAAGTCGGCATGAACCAACTCAAGTGGTTTAGTTGCCCGTTTCCAAGATGGTTTGAAAGCTTCGGAAAAAAGTTTTCCTTGAGCGCAACCTTTGCAAGAGGTAGTCTCCCCCTGTATTTGTAAATCTTGTTTCAGACCTAATCGGTGAATATGTCTGAGAACTGCATTTGCAGGGTGACACATGCGATTATGCCAAAGAGACTCTTGAGATTCCTTGACCAGAGGGCAAAGGACCCCATAGGCAGTGGTAGGTGGAAGCGGTACGCCCACAAACCAATGAAGAGGTGAAGTCGGAGAAGCTATTTTTGCTTCTAGGACAATCCGGCCATCCGGTGCTCTGATAGTCTCGCTTGTAAGTGTCGCTGTGCTCCTATACCTGTTATTGAGGAGCGCATTTCGAGAACATAGTCGCTTTGAGAACAAAGGACTGTAAACAACATTATGTAGTGGAAGGTTACTGCCATTTTCTAGGCGAATAACCACTGTTCCTTGACCGAGAAGTTGAACCTTTTTAATGCCTGCAGTAGAGGCCAAAGGTGGGTTTTTAAATTCTCGAAAGGTCAGGAAATCAGTTTTAAATGGAGTCACATGGTGTGAAGCCCAGAATCCAACATCCATAACGACTCACCCTTTGGAAGGTTCTTTTTTAGATTCGAATATGACACACCCAAAGGGGTAACAGTCATAAGAATCGAAGACATGATCATCGAACTGCATGGGTAAATACCCAGAGGCAGATTCATTGGGATCATACTCGATGTCTGGATTATGCTTTATCCTAAAAGGACATACAACAGGTTTTTCTGGCACAGATTCATGAAATTTAGATAAGGACATAGGCTTAGCTCTCTTTTTAGAGGCTTTTAATAAAACGGATTTTCGGAGAGATCCTCCGTCTCTACTATCCTGTCCTCGAAATCGAGGGGCAGAGAGATTAAAAGTCCGTTGTTGCGTCGCAGACGCATTGCCATTATCCTCAACATTCCTGTTCTCCACCAAAGTCTTGCCAGCCAAAACGGAATTTCCCATTCGTATTGAGGGTTCGCAGGAACCACTCAAACATGTCCCGTCCTGCTCAGCAGGGGGAAGGGAAATCTTCCTCGGATGAGAGTCCGAGTACTCCCGTTGCTTCGGTTCCCGAAGGGAAACCTCCAGCAGGTTGCAAGTTGTGGCTGTTCAGCGACAGATAGAACATTGGCAGATATTAGAGCCGGGAATGTTTACACGAATCGGTACTGACTCAACTTGATCCGGTTGGAAATTCTGAATTTCCTCCAGATACCAAGGAGCAAGATTTCCGGTTGTAGCATCAACTGGATAATTGGGGGTATCCCCAACAGATTCCATCGCCATAGAAAGATCTTGGCGAGACAAATCAGGATCATACATCTCAGTGTCGGTTATAACATGAGACCCGAGGTATGTATTAAGGTCGGAGGAATAGACTCGTTCAACCAGAGTAGGATCCAGGAGAGAATATTCAGGAGTGGAATCACGAGGTGGAATATTGATTGCAGTGACATCAAAGTCTCCTGCATCAAAAGCAGCAGCAGCATTTTCGTAAAATTCCTGACCCTGAGCAGTATACTCGGGTTCATAGGAATTTTGGCCATAGTAGGAATCTTCGGGAAGTTCCTCTATGTAAGCCGCGTCGATAGGCTCAGCACCTTCGACTTCTAAATTGTTGGCTCGGGCTTTGCCCTTGCCTCGGCGACGGTTTTGGCCTTGGCCATGAGAACCAGAACCTTGCTGTGGTGCTTGTTGATAGGGAGTATAATTTCCACGTCCACGTCCACGACCTCCGCGACCTCTTCCGCGACCTCCACGGTAACCGCGAAAGGATCCTGATCCAGATCCAGATTGATGATCGGAAGTATTATGTGCGCCTCTGCAAACTTGGCAGAGTGGCGGCTTATTCATGTGTGCCAGAAGTGAATTTGATTCTTGTTTGACTGTGGTCGACGACGACCCAGCCTTATCCTGTTGAGGAAGCATACTTTTGCCCGATTTGTGGGCCCAGACCTCTTTCATACGAGGTATGACAGTATCGGGAGAGAGTTGATCGGCAGCAATAGATGATAGAATATTGACCGGTGCTTGTTCCCAAGCCTGAGTCATTGAATGGACTAATATTAGCGCTTTCATCTTGTCATTAAGGGCGATGCCCTGAGCGCTGATTGCGGATATAAGCATTGTGATTTCCGCAATTTTCTGCATTATGTCATCCTTTGGTTTGATTTGAATGCGGATGAGCCGCTGGAACTCCATGAACGTTGTCATGGCCGAAGGAGCTCCATATGCAGTTCTGAGAGCTTCCCATTTGTCGTGAGAAGTCGCATGTCCATCAATTGACATTGCGATCATCGGGTCGCAATAAAGGGTCAAATTCCTTGTGCACGTGTGTCAGAAACGTGCCATTGATCAATTGCCGCTTGTGGTGCAGCAGGTAGAGCCACAGTGCCAGTCAACGATTCCCATTATGCCAAGAGTTTGCATGTATGCCTTCATAAGAACCGACCAAGAGGCCCAGTTCAAACTGTTAAGTTTGGGGATCTGCTTTGAAAGACCTTCGGACATCTAGTGTCAAAAGTCCATAAGCAGGTGTTCATATAGGAATGAGTGAGTCGGATGAATGGAAATGGATGGAGGATTTAATTCATGAGTCTGATTTCCTTTTGGTCTGCGAGCAGATGCTCTAGCAGCTTGAGATGGTCGGCGTCTTCGTGTACATGTATTTTTGTAGTAAGGACGGGAATTTCGTCATTTCTGCATTTTTGTCTGTGGTGCCATAGTTCCTCTCTCAGCGAATCTCCAAGATGAGATGCGAGAGTTGTTGCACTCTAGACTTAAAAAGTCTAGTGGAGCAAAGTAATGATAAGCCATGAAACTCCAATTACAATCATGTAATGGAATTCCATCGGCTCGAAATCCCAAATAGGGATCAGCACAAGAATATGGAACGGCAAGACAATCAGAATAACGAAAATGTTTGTCCTTAACTAGAATTTCGAAAACATTGTATGATTCGTACAAAGTACACGTATTAGTTGCCGAATGGTTTCGGCCGCCTGATGCGTACGGTACGTCCAGCGAGTTTGGAAGAGGATAGTTTGTGACGTATGGCGCGAGCTTCACGAGCTCGGCTAAGAGCCGTGGTGCGTATTCCGCAAGGTCTGGGAGCTGCGAGATAATCATAAGTAGTGTCGTCCATGACACGTTCGAAATCGCGTAGAATCTCTTCTGTTCCGGGCCAGTAAGCGAAGTCTGTGTCAGCGGGTGAGACACCCCACTGAAGATGCCGGTTAGAAGAGTGATATTGCAGGGAAGTTCCCACATCAGCTTCATCCCTATACCGTCGTATAAACCTAAAGAGACTGCTATCAAAGCTGTCTCCTCCGCATCGTCGTTCACGATACCACCTGGGTACACATCGGACGTCCGTTGATCCGTCATCCCAAACTCCTCGGAAATGGTATTCAAGATGCTGGTTCCAAATGCGGAGAGAAGGGATGAGGTTGTTGAAACACGGATCGTAGAGGGGATGGACGTTATAGTAGATGTAGACGAATGTGTCGTGGGTAACGGTGAACGCGGGAATAGAGTCGAGGGCAGGATCTTCATAGTAAGCACTGGGAAGATCGCAACCGTTGAAGTTAGCTATTGCATGCGGAGACGAGGTATGGGAAAGCTTGGGAAAGAAGTCGGTTAAATAACCATGATAGGCAAGATGTATCCCTGGATAAAAATAGGGCGATTCGAACCCGGGAAAGTGGGGCATATTCTGCCACGCTGTTTCCACGGTGTCAATTGGAACGAGGTAAGTCGCAGGATTAGGTTTCTTGAAGAACCCGATGCTCGACGGAACGGCCTCTCTCCAACTGGCGCACTCTCATACATACACCATCTCAATGTATTCTATGATCTCCTTTACCGCGTACTTCCTCCACTTTACATCATACATCCCATCTCGCTGTTCAGCGATAGCGAGTTCAAGTTTCTTGGCAACGACAAGAGACATCTTTTTATAAATAGTTAGTCTCTGTTCTGCGACAAAGCAAACGAGTCAAAGCAATTCGAACTCAGCGTTGTCATCGACAGCGAGAACGATCGCAGGATTAATTAACTCGTTGACAGCCGCAACATCCTCAGGAAGAGGAGTCGGTGCATGTCGAGGAGAAGGCGGGTTACATGCTTCAAACTCGTCGTACAGCGGAACAGGGTCTAAATCTGCGTCATAGTCGATGTCGGGAAGATGAAAATGTAAATAATGAGGAGGAGGAGTTGGCAGACGAAGTACAAGGCGCTGTAATAGCAGCCTGCGAACAACTTGCTCTTGTAGCAAAAGTTGTTGCCTTCGCCACCAGGCGGAGAGACCTAGAAAAGAGAACCAAAAGGCTACGGAGCGAATAGCGAACTCCCGTAGATAAATCGGATCATATCCACCATAATGAAGTAAAAGCACAGCCTGATTAAGGCCGGCTACAACAGCGACAGCGAAGACTACTACTACTGATCCTAGCGCGTCTAGGCCTACGATATCCATAGTGTTATGCCCGTCGGCAGTGAATGCTCTATGCAAATACCGCAAATAGCTTGCCACCTAGTTATAGGCAGGGCTCATAACCTATTGCGCAGAGGAACGGGAGAAACGAAGAGCAATGGCAAGAACACTTGCCTTTTATCAGAACAGTAGTAGACTTTGAAGTAAAGCTTGTGATGCTTGAGGGGCTCAGTTGTCGAGTAGACAAGTGAAGAACGAATACTTGATTCGATAGGGATTGAGGAAGAAATCCTCGAGTTTATATACATGAGTAGGTATGCACAGACCATGAGCGTAAAAGGAAACTACTACTCAGTATAGTAAGGAATAGTGCAGAAGGTCATGGAATATGACATATAATATGATGTCATTCTGACATCATTGTGGAGCTGATTGCTAAGGAATGTCATGTGATGAACAGCGTGTTCATACACGTGTAAGTCTGGATCAATCTAGATGTCGGAACATATAGTCATATTTCCAACACTACGCCCCACGGGACACCCTCGTCGGTCTGCATCGCTCCATCAGCTGGCTGTCTGTCTTTCGAGCAGATACGATAATCAGGGAACAACTGCAGACCTAGAAGAAGCTGTGACGCTCGGTCGCGCAGCTCTGGATCTCCGTCCACCTGGACATCCCTATCGTGCAGCAGCCCTCCACAATCTTGCTTGTGACTTCAGGAAGCAATTCCAGAAAGAAGCCGACATGCACCACTTAGAGGAGGCGATCGAATTGCTCCGTGCTGCTTTGGAGCTACGTCCCTCGGGACATCCTAATCGGTCTTCATCGCTCCACGCCCTCGCTCTCTGTCTTTCCGATAGACATGACAATCAGGGGGCAGCTGCCGACTTGGAAGAAGCTGTCACACTCGGACATGCAGCGCTAGAACTCTGTCCACCGGGGCATCCCGATCGTGTTGTAGTTCTTTACAACCTTGCTTGCGATCTCTTAAAGAAATTTCGAAAACAAGCCAACATGCCTGCGACAAGTTCTCTTCATCGAGCTACGTCGGTGGTCTGTCCAACGGGCATGGCCGATGTTGCCTCCTCGCTTTCTGAGCTCTCGTTGCACCTTTGGGACAGGTTTCAGAAGCAGGCGACAACGTCTGACTTGGACGATGCTATTTGTCTTGCAACATATGCGTTGGAGCTTCGATTACCACGACGATCCCACCATGATATCCCTGTTGGAGCATGGATTGAGGGGCTAGCCCAGGGGACAAACTCAGATGGACAAGTCATACTTGGTCGCGAGGTAGACAATCTACGTGACCTTGCGAATTACCATCGTGCCAGATTCCAACGCCAGGACACATTTGTCGACCTGAACGCGGCCATCGAGCTGTACCGAAGTGTGCTGCAATTCCACCCAACTGGGCATCCTAGTCGTGCTTCCTCTCTCCACGACCTTGCACAGTGTCTAGCAGATCGGTTTCGTCAACCACTCGCAACAAGTGATCTGGACGAAGCTATTGCGCTTGAGCAAGAAGCCCTGCAGCTGCTCATACCCGGAGATCCTAGTTACGATATGTCCCGGTGCTCTCTTACAGCCTACCTGCAAATGAAGATCGGTGCACAAGGTGCTATAGCATCGTCCAATCCCCCATCTGTCGCCCACTTTGACATTAAACAAGTCATCCGTAATGTCACATTTGACACCCTCAAAGCCATGCCTCCTAGGCTGCTGCACACGTATACTGGCATCCTATGCAACCGGGAGGCGCAGGTGTCGCATTTTGTGGCCAGTCAACAGTACAATCAGCTGCTGTCCTCTTGTGCAACCTGCGACCCGGCTCAGCAAATGAAACTCATTCACACTGTCGTCTCGAAATACTTTCAGTTCGTCATGCTTTCTCACCGGTGGGGTGAAGGCGAGCCATTACTCCACGACGTCGAAGGCCATCCGATATATGGTATGTCGACACGTGGGGGTCTTGGAAAGCTCCAAACCTTCTGTCTTGTTGCTTGCGAGCGGGATTACCTGTGGGCATGGAGCGACACATGCTGCATAGACAAAGATAGCAGTGCGGAGTTGCAAGAAGCAATAGGGTCAATGTTTGCGTGGTATCGACGATCTGCCCTGACCATCGTATACCTTTCTGACGTTCCTGATACCGATTCATTTGGGAACAGCGAATGGTTCCAACGTGGATGGACTCTACAAGAGCTGTTGGCTTCCGAGCGCGTACTATTCTACACCCTAAACTGGACACTTTACAAGAACCTCACGTCTTCTAACCATAAAGCCGATGACGCCGTGCTGGAAGAGCTGGAGAGGGCAACTGGAATAGAATCACGGTTTCTCACCAGCTTTTCTCCCGGTATGGAAGATGCACGATCAAGACTGCAATGGGCGTCATTGCGTCGTACTACCCGGCCTGAAGATATTGCATATTCACTCTTCGGGATCTTTAACCTTCACCTGCCCGTTCTGTATGGTGAACCTGCTGAGAACGCGCTTGGTCGACTCCTGGCTGAAATCGTATCGCAGTCTGGGGACACCTCTGTCTTGGATTGGGTCGGAGAGGCATCACCCTACCATAGCTGTTTTCCTGCCCAGATCACTTCGTATCAAATGCTACCATCCCTTCCACTCCATCCGGACACAGAGGAACACGTGACGATGAGAGAGCGGCCCGCGTCGTTGCCCACAGCACTACGAACGTTGTATCGTTCACTTGACAAGTCACCCCTTCCGCGATTCCTCAACCGCCGCCTTACCCTACCATGTATCGCCTATCCCGTTACAGCGGTTCGATTAAAAGGGACGGCTCCGAAATACACGTACGAAATCCAAGCATCTGGTCTGAGAGCACTTGAGATAACACTCCCGAGCGAGCTGGAAAATGAAATATTGCTGCAAGGTGGTCTGCAGCTTGTTCGCCCTTGGCACTCGAAACTGCTTGGTCCATCCGCTGGGTTACACACTACGCTTGAAGAGCAGCTACTTCTGGCACTGGGACGGCCATTTAACGCTCTTTTGCTGACCGAGCTCCCTCGTTCGGAGTACAAAAGAATGGCGTCTTCTACTCTGATCACTGCTCAGCCCGCAGACTTGACCAGCATTCTACAAAGTGAGATTAGGACATTCGATATTGTGTAGCCTAGTTATTCTGCTATGATATCTACAATACTAATGTTTACCCACACACCTGGTTTAAATCGCATCAATTCTGTTGCATCCTCATAGCTCCTGCAAACGCTATCGAAGTACGACTATAAGCCTTTGACACCTTTGTGGCTACCGTTGACTCAGGTAGAGCTCGTCGCCTACGTTGCACTACCGGAAAACCTGGCACACGACTGACGTACTTGTCACACCCTGCACGCCATCTGCACCGCCTTCTGGAAGTCATCTGGGGATGCTTGAAGATACAATTCTCAGTATTTACCAATTATTAATAGATGGAGGTGTTGGCTGGGAGGCCGTATTTGGCGTCACCGTGTTGGGATTAATCGACGTTGATTTTTGAAGAGGGGGGGATTTAAATATAGGTATGGGTATGGAAATTGGGGTTATGTACAAGTCATCCTTGCATAAACTGACGAGCAAGTATCAGGACCAACCTTCGGGTGATCCTACCAGGCGCGCATACCCTCCTCCGCCTTCCCAAACACACCCTCGAAGTACCGCGCCAATCCTGCTGCACCATGCACAATCGCACCGACCACCCCATCCGGACGTACGACCACGACCTTGACTTCCTGCTTTTCGACGATATACCCTCGGTACGCATGACCCGCCTGATCGACGAGTACTTCCGCGTCGATGCCTTGATTTTCCTCAAAGGTCCTTCCAACCCGCCCATCTGCTTCGGAGGAAGGTTCGGGGAGTACAACTATGCGCCTCACCAACTCCTTCCGGACACTCTTGTCTAGTGCCACCAGTACCGACCGCAAGTCAGGGACAGCCAAGGACGGTACAAACATGATAACAGTGTGATGTGTTGACACGAAGATATCAAATAGGCGGGTACTCCCAACCATTTCGTTTGGCTGAGAGCCACTCGAAACGTTGGGTGAAGCACGGCCAAATGAGATGACAGGCACAAGTTCCGGAGCATCGGGTGCGCGATCGCCCGCTCGCAGAACACCTTCCTGGGTGTCTCCATACGCGCTGTGTGCGACCGCGACTCCCGCCATAGGAGTGGGGGCGAACTCGTCGACGACGATCGGGCTGGTACGGTAGTTCACACCCAGCATTTGCAACTTCCCTCCGCGATTCATTACACGTTCAAAGTTGGATTTCACCGGCTTTGGGTCACCGTTTTCATCGGCGGTCGACTGTGGGGTATGGTCGGTACTGAACTGGTCAAATGTGCGGTCGTGAAGTTCGGTGGTAAAACCGAGCATTTCAGTGATCACGGGGAGCCGTTCGGCGGTGTAAGTGTCCAGGAGGGATGCTGGCGATACGCCTTTGTAGACCAATGCAATTTTCCAGGCGATGTTAAACTGTCCACGGTATGTTAGCCTGAGTTTGTGATTTAGAATGAGTCAGATCTTACTGCATCCTGAACACTTGAGTTCAGGCCTTGTCCGCCAGTTGGACTGTGTACACTAATTAAAAGATCAGTTGGAGTGGAAGTTGTTTCCGGCGAGTTACTGACTGGGCAGCGTCTGACATGGGTGCATAACACAGATGAGAATCATGGAATTTGAATACATGTCAGATCCGTACCTCCAGCAACAAAAATCCTTCCCACTCCAAACTTATTCACAAGTCGTATGTTGGGTCTAGTCCGCGAAGGCGTCAAAATCCACGCCAAACTAAGATTACCTATAAAACAAACGAGACCTACCTGAACTCTGAGACCCACATCACCTCTTTGATCTGAACATCGTCTCCGAGGCCCACGAAGTCTTTTATACAGTTCACCAGAGCCTCTTCGTCTTGGGCGAGCCCTTTCAGGTCAACTGCGCTACTTGTCATGATGAACTGCCATCCATCCTTGCCAAGTTCATCAGTGGGGCGAAGTGCGACCCTGCCAATTGCAATCCGTCAGCTGGCGCTATGTTATAGATCGAACGAAACCTACATATTTTGCGACATCGGGCCGAAAAAATGCCAGTGCTGTAAAGACGAGTCAGTTGTCTCACTCGTGTCGTCCGTAATGGAGTGTGTACATACGTCCCGATCGAGGCCCTTGGCTTCCAAACGGATGTCTCCCAATACAATAAAATTGTCTTCCCGAGTGGTCCCAAGAAAGGTAAGCCCGAGTTGCTTCCTTGTCATACCCCTCGCTCCATCAGCACCGATCAGGTACGCCACCTCTATGTCTTCTTCGACTTCTTCCCCGTCCTCGCCGCAATGCTTGGCAATTTTCGCTCTGACGCACTTCTCGTCTTGGGTGAATGAAACCAGTCGAGTGCCGAACTCGATGGTGCAACCGAGCTTGGAGAGGTGCTGGAGCATGATTGCTTCGAGCGTAGGTTGACCCATTAATTTGCTGTTATGCTGTGACGTTCCGTTAGTGCATAACTCCCAACCTCTGCACAGGCTAAAAACAGGGGCCTAAAAGTAAATGTACGCACGTATGGGATCGCCGGAGTGGGTTCAGTATAAGGAACCATGGCGAAGGTGTTGAGAGATTCCAGCGAACCCTTCTTGTGCTCCTGAACTGGGGGAACAAAGGTTGCGCGTTCATGGATCTCGGGAACACGCAGGAAGTGGAAGGCTTCGAATGTGCGAGGCTGGGTTGCATTAGCTCCGTAGATGAATTTGAGGCATGCGTAGCTTACGTGGATGCCCGTGCCGCGTTGGCCACGTCGGCTTTTGGGTTCTTTCTCTATGATGCGCACTGGCACATTATTCCGGGCGAGCGTCAAGGCCGCGGTTAGGCCGGCTGGACCTGCTCCCACCTAGAACCCAGATTTGACGGTCTGCGAGGGTGGGTAGAAAGGGTCAAACATACCACAAGTACAGGAGTCATGCCACTCGTCATCATGTGTCCTTTGATAAGCTTCTGAGGGTTACGTGGGGCGACTAGTTGTTAGGAATGCGAATGTAGATGGGATGCTAGCCAGTCACTAGGGCCCTATATATACATCCTCTATAACAATATAAACCCAGTTCGGGGAATATCCAAGGAGCAGTGCAGGGTTGAGACCAACTTACTAATTAGGGTTACTGCAGACATGTTCCATGGTTTGGACGCTGCGTCAAGTCCTCGCATAAATCGAAGTCCACCGCTCGTCATAAAAATTTGTAAACGTGATTTCAGCGTTTCTCAGAACTCCGACTACATAAGTAATCGATGAGTCATCGAGCTGGCGTCAACCTCCGCTCGCCTGCAGAAGGCAGATGCAACTTGGTCATAGTGCATGTAGGAAGTAAGAAAGGGCCGGAAGCAAGCCGGAAGGCGGTTTGCAGGATGCTGTACATGTAGTTCCCAAAATTAGAAATGTCCTGATCCGGTGACCAAACTACTAACAGGCCAGAATACTTCGTCACCACAAGCCGAGAGCGGTACACGTCCTCACTCAATGCCGCACACGCCACATCGTCTTCTGCCGAGTATTTCGCTGAATTTGTCCCACCGGAGGCTGCTTCTACGGAGCAAATATCTAAACACCCTCGGCTTTCTCATGCGCCGCCCGTCGCGTTCCGGCGGTTCGGCTGTGAACACGAGAGAATTCATACACAGCTCGACCTTCACTGACTCATTAGGGCCTGAGGGCATCCGATTCCGCGGTTTCTAAGCTGTTGTATGATACTACCACGTATCCCCCGTCGCTTTACAGCCTCTCAGGTGAAAGAGCCATCGTGCACCGATGTACACATAAAACATCCAGGCATTTGGTATGAGGTCGCTCCACATCACACTGTCAGCCAAGCTGAAACATGACATGCAACCTAGTGGCCAGCATTCTGAAAAGTAAAAGCAAAATTCAGATATTGAATATCGTGTATAGTCACGGCGCTATGATATCTGGTATTCACATCCACTTGGTCACTCCTTTTCATGCGTTGTTCTGGCACTTAGATATGACGCTGCATCTGTAACATTAAACAGACAAAAATAAAACAGCTGATTGCGCGACTTTTGCAGCACTGCTCCTGCGCAACTTTTTATACTACCCCTGCATAATTTTTAACACAGCCACCTTGTACCACTTTGCACTAGCTAGGAGGGCAGATAAAATAGATAAACGTAGGCAGGACGTGAACACAGTTTGTCGGCACCCTCCCCAGTCATCCCGCCCAATCCACGAGGCCGTGATGCCCCACAGGGCCTGCTCAAACGCTTGACCCCCTCCCCCGCCCCTCCCGCCTGGTGGCGGGATTGCTCCTTTGGGAAATTCCCACGGCATCGCCACCTGCCAATTCATGTGACCGCACTCCGCGCCACAAGTCATCACTGGCCTAGCGAATTTGGGCCCGTTTCTTGGCAAAATACCCATTATTACATGCATCAGGAAGCGAAAAAATGGTTTAAACCTGTTTAAACCCGTCACTGAAGTACTGACTGGTCGTGACCGCGATTCTGTCATTCCCCGTTTCTCTGATGTGGGTTATGTACAGTAGCATCGAAACGAGTCCCGAGGAACAGGCGAGGAGTGCGTGTAGCCCTGACTCACTCACTCCCCCGTGCACGTGCCCTGCTTAGTCAGTAGCTGTGGGCACAGCCACCTGCAATTTTTCTGCGCATTACTGCAAAAGTCGCGCAATCAGCTGTTTTATTTTTATTTGTTTAATGTTACAGATGCAGCGTCATACTTAGAATGCGTGCTTTCCCTATGCACGGTCGCTCCTATTTAAATGGTCGCATTCGACTCGCTATTCACTGGGCACTCTGGTAGAACTGGAGATTTCCTGATCTCGAGACTGTTGGATGCCATCTCCGTCTTTATGAGAACCGATCATGCACTCTAATCATCTAAGATCCCGAAGGCTCAGTAGATAATCGGAGCATAACTTGAGAGTGAGGCGAGTAACGAAGGCCGTTTAGCTAGAACAGCTGCATTGAAACCCAAGCATCCTCCTATCTCCGAGACCGCAGTACCGCCGCTCCTCCCTCTCCTCTTCGCTGAGTTCGTTGTCTGACACGTCGCCCTCGCGCCCCCACGGTTTGAACGGAGAACACGCCATCTAAACAGCGATTCATGACAACCAGTCAGCAAACCCTATGAGCTACTTACCTGCATGACTTTTGCAAGAATGTGCCTCCCGGTCGTGGGGTCTGCCTCGACCTTCTTGATGACCTCTTCAAGCAACCACTGCCTGAGCACAAAGCGAGGGTTTGCAGCTATCGCAGCCCTTCCCCGCGCCTCGTCGAAATCTTCCCTAGCCCACTCTTCGCCGGTTTTCTCATATTCGATGCGAGCGGCATAGGTGTCAAGCCATGCGAGCCATTCTTCTGTTGCCTTACCCGTGTCTAGGCGTTCCGACTCCGGTGCTCCCCTGAGCAGTTCTGCAATAAATGCTTCCAGAGTTATTGTGCCACTATTGTCCTCCCCACGGAGCATCCTCGGCCGGAAGAATGCCAGCTTTCTGAATGTGCCATGGAAATCTAGTCTCTGGTTTTCCATCATATCCAACAGGGGTTGGAAGATCGTGCGCTGATCCGAGGGATCTTCGCGACGAAGTGCGAGACGCCGGCGGAGGGTCACGCCATATTCGATGGTGTAAGTTGACTCGATGATTTGGTTCATCGTAGACCCAACCTCCTCTATCCCCGCGGTGCGCCATTCTGAGATGGTCTCGTCATTGACGTTGTCGGCCCAGCCCTTCTGTACCGCTTTGTTACCATGGGCAATTTCAGCGCCAATCAGAGGGGCGAGCGCGTTAAGCAGGGCACGGCAAGCATAGCCACTGCAAAGGATCAGTAGATGTCAATCAGTTCGTGATATGCGAGACTAACATCATGTTAGGTTGTTGCTGCAGAATACCAATTAGGCAAGATAGCAAGGCTGAAAGGGAAGGTAACACTCACATTGTAAGCATACCGGCCTTCTTGGTCGGAGTGGTTGCATATGTGATGGGGGTCAAAAACATCCATAAACGCGTACGGTCCTAAAACAAAGTGAAATGCCAATCCAAGTTTGACGCTACGGCCTTACCATAGTCTATCGTAAGTCCAGCAATTGATACACTGCGAAGGATCAGATAGTTGCATCGCACAATGACATGGAGACTTGCTTGTCTGTATTGATGACGCCGTGCATGAAGCCGTACGCCTGCCATGCTGCGACCATCTTAGCATTTCTCCGGGCCACTTCAAAGACCAGCTCCTTCCCCCATGCGTCACCAGCGTCTAGATCGACATTGCCCAGTTTAAGAATGCGCTTGACGGTCCATTCTCCAAGGATGCGAAGAGCTTCGTAGTCTGCATGTTGCTGCCCTCCACCAAAGAAAAACATTGCCCGTGAGGGAGGAGAGAGTGCTTCAAAGTTTCCTATCCGAATGAAAGTTTCCGCGACTCTCGTCGTCACACATGCTTTCTCGACTCGTTCGCGTATGACGGGCAGTTCAGGTAGATACACCAAAGCAAGAGACCGAGTAGTGGGAATGCCCAATGCATGCATGGCTACATGAGGATGACGTCACTGGCGCGGGCGACAGTAATGAAAGGGTGCATACCTTCTGAGCATAAGTACTCACGAATAGACGAGCGAAGGACGGCAAGGCCATCAGCACTCCGGGAGAACGGCGTGCGGCCAGCTCCCTTCAGCTGAACCTCATATGTTGTGTCAGGGTCAGATGGGTGAGGCGTGACGACTAGAAGACATAAGATCTGGCGACAACACAAAAATCCATGCACTCACGGATTGAGATAGCTCGTCCGTCACCGAGTTGGCCTGCCCAGTCGCCAAACTGGTGACCGCTGTACCTAAGAGACCAAGGAGCGCATCCTTTCCCGCCTAATTGGTCTGATCCGTCAGGGGACATAAGAGAGACATGACCGCCAAGAATATCTACAAGCTCCTGACGGGCATTCCGAGCCTCGACAGATGACGAGACCTTTTCATTGTCCAACTTGGAAGGCACGAAAGTGGGTTTCAGAGTGTCAAATGCGTCCCCACAGTCTAACAGCGGCAGACAATCGTTAACGCACGTCTCGGACAATGCGATGAGCTCTCTCCGGTAGTTTCGCGACTTGGAGACGTATTTATGCAAGTGGAAGTTGCCGGACAGTGCAGACGAGGCTTCCGCTGGGATCTTTGCTTCATGGTCACTCAGCCACTGCTCGATGTACTCGGCTTTGTCTGTGACGACCTCAGGCGGGTCCGGCGGTGCAATTTCGTACGGAAACTCGAGAGGCATCGGGTTCACGTACGAAAAATGTGCTTCTGGAGACAAAAGTCTCGCACGGCGCTGGACGCTCGGTGTCCTGGCAAGTACATCGGAGAAAAACGTCGCAGGGTCTGGAGTGCGTGGGTCTGGCGTGAGGTTGTGTGTTAGGAGATGTGAAGAAGGCGGTAATGGCAGCTTCGAGAATGGTACTTTATTGGAATTCTTCGGCATAGCGACAGTCTCATTCAAGATGCTCCTCAAAGCTCTCATGTTCCTGGACGCCGTTAGGCCCAGGTCTATAAACTCTTGTGACCACCGATCATACCGGACCGGAGCCCCAGTCACGTGCGTAGGCCTCCTTTGGCTCTCGGTAGGTTGGGGTTTTCCACTCCTTACACTATGCATCATCGTGAAAACCACCTGGAAGCACATATAAGTGGTGCTCAGAGTAGGCTATGGACGCGCTATGGACAGGCTATGGAGTGCTATGGTTGTATTAGTAGTTGTGCTATGGACAAGCTTGGCCATGCTTATGAAAGACATCCATTTATGGAATTTTCAACCTCCACCCACAGGCCCGCAAGGTACTGCTTCTCTCGAAGTCTGTAGCCTATCATACTTCATATAACAATAGCATGCTGCGTAAAATTTCAACTATGTGCATATATCAATTCCTTCGTAATCTAACAATCAGTTATCCCAATACCCTGAGGATGCCCCACAAGTCTAAATGACAGCAGCTGCTCAATGACCTTGGCAGGTTAGCAGTGGAAGTTGCCCACACTCGACTTGAGAACATGCAGGGCTCTGATGTGGAGGAGTCACTGTCAGGATCGGAGATCATTAGCCCCATTATAATCACACCACTGACTTCACTTACCCAGTCCTTGTCATGTTCTGAAGATACTTTTGACTTGATCTCTGACTCTGTCAGCTCGGTCACCAAATGGGATGCACATTGTGCTCATCTTCTTGATGTGATCAAGGCCCTTAGTGAAGAGGCCCATGTGGCATGTGTCTTGTTCAAGCTGGATGCATCTCTAATGCATGCTCCACAAATACAGCTCCTGCCACACTTTGCAGATCATTGCTGTAAGGAGAGAAATCTCCTTACTATGGGATTGGGTATTAATTTCTATTTTATTTGTTTTATGGTTTCTTTACTTACTGTGGTGGGTACTATACTTGAGTACCATAGTTCGCTTTTTATGTGCTTAGTCAGCACTTACTTACAGTTTGTTTGTACTGTAAGTTTTTACCAATAGATGAGTTACCCCCAAAGATGAGAACAAGAGAAAGACTTCCCCAGACAGCCCTAGACAGTTCCCTATCCCTTTATTCCCTTGCTCAGGCTATAGGAGCCCCTTTGTCTTACTCTCTCCCTCTCAGATTCTGGTCCTGGATCATCAAGCACCACTATTCTATTTCCTCACATCACTTTGCAAGAAGCTTCATGTTGACCCAAATACTTTTGATTTTATCCTAGATCAGATTAGCAATCATCCAATTTTCAAGAACAACTCACAAAATCAACAGCTTCCTGTTGCATTGCAACTTGCAATTTTCTTGAACCATGCAGGACACTATGGGAATGCTGTCACACCAGAGGATGTCAGGCAGTGGGCAGGTGTCAGTGTAGGATCCATCATCAACTGTACTCACTGGGTCATGATTGCACTGCTTGACCAGCATGACAAGTTCATATATTTTCCAGATGTGGATGACATTGAAATGGAGAATGCAAGAATGTTTGTGGAGAAATGTACTTGTGCATCTTGGTGAAATGGGGTCTTCACAGTTGATGGCTCAGCTGTAAAATTAATGTCCAAGCCCAGCATATATAGTGAGACATTTTATGACAGAAAATGCAACTACTCACTCAATTGTCAGGTGCATGCACAGACAATACAGGCTTGGCCATCCTGGGAGTGTTCATGATGCATATGCCTTCCAGGTGATGAGGCTAGTGCACAAATCCAACTCTGTTATTCTGGAAGGGCACTGGGTGTGGGTGGACAGTGCTTATCCATTGGAGCCTTGGTGTATATCACCCTTCAAGAGACCCAGAGGGGGAAACCTGTCATGAAGTCAGAGCATTTATAATAGGTATCTTTCAAATGTGTGTTTTACCTCTGATAAAAAGAAAAAATGTACTCACTAACAAATTGATTGGCGGGTTCATGTTTGAATTGAGCATGCATTTGCAGCACTGAAGGGGAACTTCCAATTGCTGCAAGAGCTCCAGCTGAAGATTAGGAAAAAGGAGGATTTGTATGTCATGATCTATTGGGTGGAATGTTGTTTGATTTTGCACAATACAATCATATGGTTTGAGGATGGAATACAAGGGGTGGAGTCATCAGCAGGCTGGGCTGTGCATGAGGGTCAGGATTTTGTGGATGTTGAATGAGGTGAACATGTCATTGTGAGTGAAGCCAGTGGCTCACCTGGGCAGTGTTGCTGTGCCACACTGATGGAGGAAGTACTTAAAGTCCAATCATGCTAGATACAACACAAGCTTGTAGATTTGTAGAAGGTACATTTTACCAAGTACATGGTGTGGATGATATGGAGTACAAAAAAAAAATGCAATGACAACACTGGGGGATATTTGAGGGAGGGGGAAATGACTACACATCCTGAGATTCAGACACATTAACACTTTTTGACACAGCCTCCATTTTTGCCAACTCTATCCTGAGGTGAAGTGTTTCAGCCTCTCTCTCAAGCCCAGCTGCTTGTGCATTTGTGAGTTGGATCTCAAGCTGCTTGTCTTCTTTTTGGCATGTGTGAATCACCTCAGCCTTGGAGCACTGGTAAATAGCTTTGTCCTGGCAATATACCAACTCCTTTGAAAGTATGCCATACTCATACTTGCCAATATTCTGTTGTGTCTGCTCCCCCTTGAGTGATTTGACCTCAAGTTTGAAGTTGTCAAGATGTTCTTGTAGGTCTGACTTGATGTGACTTGCTGACAGCTTGTGAGAACTGCCCTTTGTTGAAGGTGTTTCTGGTGACCAAGAGTATGGCGACATGAGCTGATGACAAGTGTGACTGTGAGAGCTAGTGGATGATGGAGGGGCAGTGGTAGATGCACAACAATGAGATGTATCTGCTGATTTAAAGGCCTCATGCAAGTCCCAAGATGCTGTGTGATGCCTCATATGGGTGGGTCTGGTCAGTTTGCTGGATAAAGGAACAGTTGCCTGTTGGAGAGTACTTTTGAGCTAGATGACATGCATTTCATAGTGAAGTACTTACCTGCCATGTTCAGATGGTTGAAAAGGGCAGGTCTGGCTCTGGGGCATTGCCATCATCAAAATGCTCCCTGAGCATGTTATGGTCTTCATCCCAGGTGCCCAATCTCCCCTGATCACCTCCATCATTTTCATCCTCTGGGCCACAGTAAACAAACTCATTATCACCATCAACACCATCATCCCTCCAATATCCATCAGGCACCATGAAATCTCCAGTATCCTTGGCTACATTGTTATCAACATCCATATCTGGTACAACTGGCATAAGTTGGTAAACATGCTGCAAGTGCAGAGTGATAAAATACCTTCAACATCTGGGTTGTCCCCAGGGCAAGATCCACTGCCCCACACAAGAGCAAGCATTTCCTTGGCATGGTCTTTTGTCTGGTTGGATGTAAACAGCCTGGCATCAAAGGAGGGATTCCCCCTCCAGATCAAGTTGAGATTGTTGAAGTATGGGAAGGTTTTTGCAATTGCTTCTACAGGCATTTCAGTCCACATGGATGAAGTCTAAGATAAAACATATGGTCATACCATGAAGATTAGTGTCTGTTCCAGGCACAACACCTGCACCCATCTGTTTGAGGCTCTTGGCATGCTTGTGGTATTTATCTTTCAATCTGGTTTTGTCAGTCCCATAGATAACATAAAATGATTCAACTGACATACATGCTGAGGCAATTCATGACACAGAGTTGGAACTTATCTGGATTTGCTGTATATTGCTCAGAATATGTAGGATTGTCTGCAAAGATGTGTTTTGTGATGGCTAGGCAGACCTCCTTTTTGTTTTGGCCAGATGGCTTGTCACCTGTAGTTGCTGGAGGTGCACTTGAGGATTCTGCATTCTTATCATGGAAGAGAATGTGACAGTCAGCAGCATGACTGAGAGGCCAGCAAATTAGTCATTCAGTATGAGTTGGATTTTGGTCCCAGTGAACTTGAAGTCCTCTACTGCCAACAGATTCCCCACCAGGGGTTGGAGCCTTCCTTCCTGCTCCCTATCTACCTACAGAGTTAGCAGATGGACCAGGGCCTCTGGCAACCATCCCTCTCAGGGTTACCCCACTATCTGCCCCAATGCCTGTTAATCCCTGTTATGCCAATGACTCATATCATGTCACAAATCAAGTGCAATGTAGCACAAGCACATGACTACACAAGAAGTGATGCATAATTTAACTTTACTAGTGGTGGGACACTAGTCTTGGCCAACCAAAGTCATACTGTTGAGTCCTCTTGGGTGCAGTGAACAGAGCTAAGGGTGGTTGCAAAGTAGATTTTGAATGAGGTAGCAGTACAATACAGGCAGGCTTATATACATCTATGAAGTACTGCATAACAAACATTTGAAAATGTTCAGATGTACACCCAGGTTCCCATTACAGCACCACCAAGTCATAGTGAGTCACTGTGCAGCAGGACTACATGTACAACTGAGTCTCCAGTGCAAGCACAACCAGGGTAAATGTACATCAGAGGAAGAGCAACCATGTATATGACATACAGGGGTAACCATGTACCTGGGGTACACAGGTCACATGACCATGTGGATCAGGGCCACCAGTGGATCACAGAGGGAAGGGTAAATGGACATAGTCCAGCTATAGTACAATGTGGGGTAGACAGGGGCAAGATATAAAGGGAAACATATGGAATGCAGGTCCTACCACATAGATGGTGGCTTGCAGGCAAAGGGAATGTCACTCAAAGGCAGTGACAGGTGTGAATGGTATAGTATGAAGTCTGTAAAGGGAAACAATGTGAGCACAGTGTGACATCACCCCCCCCCCCGCCCAAAGGCCTGAGGTCCTCTGAAGGTGGGAAGAGGCCCTTGACTACCCAGGAGTGGATATCATGGTTAGTTGCCACTGCAAGCTGGGCAGTTAGACAACCAATGTCCAAGGCATGAACATTGGTAGCAGGTGAACTGATGCAAGGGATGCTGCCAATTGAGGGGTACAAGCCCACCAGGTTTGTGTTTGCTGAGGGAGTCGATAGGAACTGGGGTGAAGGGAGAAGCTGGCAGAGGTTTTGATGTCTTAGAAG